CTTGGGGATTCTCATGGAAGAACCTAGTATGGTGATGCTTCTGCACCACCACCATTGTCGTTTTTGGCTCATAGCCAGATTCCAGTTTCTTGCATGCCTGTTGGATTCTGTACATTTCTATCATCACCAACTCGAACTGGTCCTCTGACACTCCATCTCGAAAGTATATGATTCTTCTTGGCTTCTGCTTTCTATTGAAGAAATAGAAGCTGAGCAGGAGTTTCCTGACGATATCTTTGGAGTGTCAATAGTCTCCGTGGTGGGTGGCTGAACCTGAATCACTTGTGAATACAGGGTTGCATTCACATCCAGACTCCCAAGGACCTGTCAACCACCACCTGTATATTGGAATTAACAGAGCTCATGAGATGTGCCATGAAGGTATCCTCAGTGGAAAGAGAGTTTCATTTCTTCGAACTACCAAGTCCAAGCCACTTGTTCGCTACGACTTGCGAAGGAAGCAGTGGACCACACTCAACCGCATCCGCACTTCGCACGGCCGATGCGCCCACCTCTTACACCGGTGGAAAATCAAGACCACCCCCTGATGTGACTGCTGTTTCAAAGACCAAACCATCCAGCATATTATCCATCAGTGCCCACTCCGTTCATTTGCAGGCACCATAGACGAAATCCACGACCTTACTCCAATAGCCTCCAACTGCATTTTCCAACCTTGACATAAAATTATAAGTGTAGCTGATCACCCTCCTGCCATACGCAAGATTAGACGATTCAAAAAATCTTCCTTGTGGAAGCTACTATGGTGTGTGTGTGTGGCAAGGAGGAGGGGGGGACGGGACAAATTCAATCCGGAAAGTGTAGGTCCATTCTATGGGTCTCTCCAGAAATTGTTTAAACTTGCATGTAGGAAAAAGATCTTGATAGACTGCTAGAGGGATGGAAATGCATTCCGGTCAGAATAGTCAACTGGTTGCTCCCATTGCTGCATGTGAATAAAATATGGCTGCTGCCATCCGTGCCACCCAACGGTCCACGTGTGTACATGTTGATGTTCTCTTTCTCATGAATTCTTAGGAATAAAAGTAACTTCCTAGCTAAGAAGCAGAGGAATGCGTCTCTGTGAAAGTACGATTGCGACGAAGGTCTCGATAAGCTCTTGCTGAACATGCCCTTACTAGCTATGGTCTCGAAATAGTATTAATAACCTGAGGCCTAGGTGTCCCAGCGTCGTCTATGGGAAACTTTCAATGCAGGCAGAAACTTGAACCCAAGATGGTAGTGATGCAAAGTTGAGGGTCCCATGAGTGAAATTCCTAACAGGCATCAATTTAGATGAGGTGCGATAGAATTTCATCAGAGTTAGGGGAAATTACTTTGGTTGAATTTTCTTCAGTATGTGGACTTTCTTTTGTCAAAGAAGAGAATGTTTTCGTATTTAAAAAAAAAATAGACATGCAGCTTCAATTGGGTTGATTTTGTGCAAGAGTGAAGTTTGAATTTCTTTTGGGCATTAGTTACATGGGAGCTTTTCATGGTGACTAGGGAAGGTGCTGCATCTGGGAGTCTGGTAGGAGCTTTGAGAAACTATGGTCAATTGGTCAATGAAGTCAAAGTTTACAACTTTCTTGTGTGCAACTGACTTTGCAGCAATCCTACTTGACAAATATCCAGTTATATATTTGAGTTCACAAATTATATTCACTTAAGTGTCCTTTCAGCCTATCAGACTGCTTGGTTGATTACAGTCCATGTTGATATTAATTTTTGTTATTGTCAGTGCTAGATGTTGGATTAACATTAGGCCTACTATGCTTGTTGTGGATCTCACATGTCACTTGTCATTTACTATTCATACTACCCATTTACATTTACTATATGTTAAATTTCATATAAGAACACATGTGAAATGGCCATATGTGAAGTACTATTTAGCCAGTCTAACATATATGGGGTTTGACACAAGTCACATAAAATCATATAAGAATGAAAATATATGGCCCCATATATTTTCATATATTAGCTCATGCAATTGCACCAATTATGCCATGTCACATCTTGTCCATATATGAAGTTAAACATGTCTACATATGTACATATGGTGAGAAAGCCTAACAAATACCCACATCCTAAAAGGGTACATAATCCATATATTCGTTTTTCCTTTCTTATGCCAACTTCCTTGAAATTTCAGTTAGTTTCTGATGAAATGGAACCAGTGGAGGGGGAAGGAAAGGGAATAAAGGGAGGCAACTGAATACATGGATGAAAAAAGGGAACTGAAAAGTTCATGCATTGCTACCCTTGAGTTCCCATGCCCCCCCCCCACTTTTTTCATCCTCAATACACTTTTGCTACCTAGGGAGGGTAGGGGTTTGAAATAAATATTTTGGGAAGTTACTTTAAAGGTAATACATAGCTAATTTTTCATGTACAATATAATGGATAAATAAAATATTACTTGCAGAGGCATCAGAATGTCATGGCCTTCGTGTAAAAACCTCATGCAGTGGCAGCAGGGAGTGCAGATGTCACCACCCTCCCCCCCTGGCATCCCCTGGGATGGAGCTTGGTACCCCCTTAGAGATATTATTTTTCTCCCCCAATATCACTTGGGTGGGGTTTGAAGACTCCTCCCCCTCAGCTGCCCTACCCCCTCTGGCCCACTGACCTCATGCTATGTTTTGCTTACAACCATATGACTTGTTTATGGATATTCACCACATATTAGACATAATGCCATTTTTCCATCACACTTAATATTGCAATGCAGATTAAATATATTATACACCATGCATTTGTTAATATATGAATACATATATGGTGGTATATGCCAAATATATGATCACATGACCATATAGAATCATACACCTCGTCATATGTGGAATTTTCATGTGGGATATCTCAGGAAAAACTACTATTTTTGGATTGGCAAATGCTGTTTCATATGTAGCCTATTTAACCTTTTCTTTTCCTGAAAGAAGCCCTTTCTAATAACTGTCTTTCATTTCTAATCCAGTATGCTAGGTATTGATTTTGTCTTCCTGAAGTGAATACTACAGGTGTAGATTGAGCTGCTTGAAGGCTTGGTTGTTGCTCAGTGTTAGTGTGAAATCTGCAATGAGTGTGGAAGGGTTTTTTGAGCAGATATTGAGGGTTGCTTCTGAACTAAAGTTTTTAGCTATTGTCACCAGTTCCAGAAAGTCCCTTGGTGAGTCTTTACTCCTGAGATTTCCATCTTTAGAACTTTTTTGCCTTTGCCAGGTAGCCTATTGAGTGCTTTTATTCATAATGAAACTTATGTTAATGCTAATTGTGTATTTCAAGAAATGGTAGCTGTTGCTCACCTTTTTTGGAAGTCATGTGCTAGGAAATGTGTATAAATTGGAAAAATTAGTATGCATAAATGAAGTCAACTTCTTAGCAGTGCTTGAATTTAAAACTTCTTGCTACAAGATGCTGCAGAATATAGCCCATCAGTATTTTGATCCATTGCCCTCTCATATTCCTGAAGTTGCCACTGATGTGGCAGGTTTTCAGGCTGTAATTTACAGAAGGGTGAATGTTTTTTTGTTTGGAAGACCCACCTTGTAGGTGTTTACTTCAACCTCCTTGTTCATATCTTCCTGTCGCTTATCACTTATTATTTTCTTTTAGCTCAAAGAACATATTGAGAAGAGTATAATGAACTAAGATGCAGTGAGACCTGGACTGTTACCTCCTGGATTTCCTGCATCCATAGTTCCATGTGTCGCTGCCCAACAGGGGAGAACTCATGAGAAATTTTTGCTGAATGACTCACTTTAAATTAATCTTGCCAAATTTGTTGACTCTTGTATGAATAGGCTCATTTCATTGGGATATAGTTCTATGAGTGCAACCTCTACCTTTTCTTCTTCTCTAATCCATTAGACCTGAAGTTAATACCCAGTGAAATTATAAAATGATGTTGGACACATAGTACTTTTACCAAATCATTTGAGGATTTGCTATTTCAGATATCTTGGCAGAACAAGAAGGGTCAATGCTTAGAGATCCACCATGGGAACTTCGTCAACAGTGTTTCAAGACATTACGTATTTGCTTTGATTCCAGAAACCATCGGCTTATTCAACTGGCAGTCCAGGGGCTGAGAGTAAGATATAATGCATGCATCTTTTGTCCCATTGCCATCGTTCTTGAATTCAATATACAACATTTGCAAATGTAGCAAATGAACTTCAGAATGTCAGTTGACTCCTTTCCTACTAGACAAGTTTAACTGCAAGAATGTCACTCCATTTGGCCTGAAGTGACCTGCCTACCCAGAGAGTAGTGTTGCAGAATTATTATTCCTCATTTATGAATGAAATTGGCCTGTGAATCTTTGAAGCAAAAAACATTCCAAGAATGAAAGATATTCATTCTAATTCTGATGCTGAATCAGCTGCAGGTCTTTCAGTGTTCCAAGCCTATCCTAAATTATTTCAATGGTAGACCCTATGCTCAGACAAGCCTGAGAGGTATATCCTGCTCTTCATCAGAAAATGTAAGCTTAGGGAGATTAGAACAAAACAAAAGTTTAAATCCCCCTCAATTGAAGGAGTAACCTATTTTATGATCTTCAGTTGGAGCTATTGACCTAAATAGATTTTAAGATCATTATAGTAGAAGATTGTGTTGAATAGCATAGCAGGGGAATGTCTGGCACCCATGTAAATATGGCTACTGTTACAAATTCAAGCATATAAGTCCAGTATAGGCTCTGAAGAATGGCAAATTTGGAATAAGTTTTTCATATTGTCTACTGTTTCAGGTCATGAGCTACTTGACTTTTTCTGTCATCATTATAAAACTGCATAAATTTATATATATCCTGTTGTCATTTCTCAAGTGTTAATTTATTTTTAGCAATAAAGGATCACTTGTTCACAGGTCCCAAAATGCAGCTTGAAAAGTCTTATTGCTATTCTGCTTGGTTTAACCTTTTTCATCTATTTCAGAATGTCTTTGTAATATGTGATTATGATGAGTGCTTTCCATTGTCTCCTTTCCAATAGAAACTGATTCAAGATGACCGGTTCCTAGAAGGAGATGAATGGGAATCAGGCCCAGAAGAAAGAGAAGAGGGGAAAAGCCTCCCTTGGCAACTGCTTGAGACCCTTGCCTCACCTTTGCCTAGTCTCTCTCTTAATGCCCAAGCAGAACTCCTGAAGGTATCCAAGATTCTTGAGTGAATTCTTGGGTTTAACTTTACTCTCAAATTTGCAAATTGATGGGAATGTATGGGTTGATTTTCAGTATTGCTTCTGTGTCCATTAGTGGAAAAATTACTGTGATTTATTGGATTGAATTTTAATTCAGATGGATTATTTAAAGTTGACATGTAACCTTTGTTCTTTGCATCATCCAAGGTCATGGAAGGGGATGACTTCAATTGATAGGCAGGCAAAGTATTGCATTCTCATATGGTGTGAAAGGAAAGGAATACCCTGTGCCATGAATCTTCTTGTGGCAGTGCTGAAGGATCTCTCTACTTGTAGTTGTTTAGTGTCATTAACACGTTGACTGCCACGGCAATGCTAGCCTATTGATTTTTCCATTAAGTGAGGTGCACCAGTTCACCTCGTGGAGGTCAACCTGTTAATTTTTTCTTACTAAGGGCAACTTCATACTCCACTATGTCAAACAATGTGTGATAGGATATCAGGAATGGATTGGTATGACTGTTATATAATCCTTCTATTCTTTTATCCCATGCAGACATTTTTGGCAGGGTTGACCAAACACAGAGGGACTTTGAATTTCCGATTAGCACAAGAGACACTGGAAGTGTGTCGAGATGCATATCGCAGGGGGCTTGGAAATGACACACTCCAAGCTGCTGCACTCCTCCTTTCATCACATATTGTTCGTGCTATATCACAGAGTGCGTTATAGATATCTCTCTCACATTTCATTGCTTTGAGCTATGTTAAAACCTTTGATGCTTTGAAGTTTCAGGTAATTTTTGACTGGGTCCTTTTTATTCAAATAAAATAAGGCTACTAGCACAATTCCCAAATACCTGTATCACCTTTCCCTTTTTCTATTTTAGTGCAGTTATCATTTACAGGAGCACTAAATATTCAAACTTTTGCATGAAAGTTCTTCACCTGAGTTTAACTTTGTTGAAGTACTTTTTCCCAAGTCACAAAAGTGATAACATGTTTGATATTGGAAACATTTAATCCATTAGGGAATTATCATGAAGTAAATATTCAAATTGGTAAGTATTTCTACAGTAATAATACAGGGTGTTCGATAAGTCACTGTGCAGTAGAATTCAGGACATGATGTAGGAGGAATGAAGGAGGAATTACAGACAAATTATGTGAATCAGGGATGGTGCTAATATTTGATGAAGTATTGAGTGGAAATTCATGTCTTTGATGATGCAATACATGTGATACATAGTACAATACTAAATACATGCAACAAAATAAACGAATTCTACTGCCCAGTGACTTTTCGAACACCCTGTACTACTTCATTTTACACCACAGGTTATTTTTTCCTGACTGGGCCAATGGAGTTTAGACTTAGAGTTTTTGAAATTTTCAGTGTCCAGTCTCTAATAGCTTGGTCTTTAGATAAGTCTATTCCAGTACCAGGCCTTCCTGCTTGAAGGCAGTCTTGTCCTGTAGCAGATTATAGAGCCTCCTGAACAAAAACCCCATGTGAGTACTCATCACAGGAAGAAGCAGGGTGAAGTTTCAGCATTCTAACTTTAAATGTTTTAGTGGTGTTAATGCACTTCGGAAGGAGTACCTCACATTAGTCACATAGCTCTGGTTTATTACAGATGTGCCTCATGAATCAAAATCTACTCTCCTTACTCTTGGATGGTATTCATTTAGAAACCTCTGAGTGCCTTGCTTAGCACCATGGCTTCTATATCAATAAAAATTTGAGCATCATTGTGGTTACTGTCTGCATTTGACTTCAGTCCACATTTGTCCAAAATTTCCCATCACTTCTGCTAACATCAATTCATTCAAAATATTTTATTGGTCTGGTTAAGTTTGTGCTCTACAACAGAGCAAAAGGATTTATACTCGACTGATTTTTCCTACATTGCAGATGCTGGAAAGCAGCAAGGAGCTATTGCTGATATTGTTTCTCTTCTCAAGCTTCTCTGCAATCAAATGAGATCTGAATTCAGGTAGGTGCCTCTTGTATATTCTAATAGAAAGTTTGAGTGTGACCCAGCTTGCTTTTAAGAAAAAAAAATCAAGTGCTCTTTCATATTGGTACATCCCTTGTACATGAAGTTCAAAGGAGTGTATGTTTTACTCTTAATTTTAATAGGAAAGGAGATGCCTGTTTCCCCTTCCTGGTGGAATCCACTCATGCCTTGCTGCGAGCCCTTGATGTGGAGGCCCTGGGAGAGAGCCCATTATTTACCTCACTTGTGTGGCAGCAGCTTTGTCCATGTGTTGTCTCCCTCCTGGCCCCAAGTGATTTGGAGAAGACATGGAAGCCTTCTTGGATGCAGAGTGGAGTTAATGCAAACCCAAATCACCTTGGGAGAGGGACCAACAGTATGGGACATGCTCCTGCTCTCAACCACCACCTCACTCGACTTCTCTATGGGTCAGTCCTCAACTTCCTCATGTCAACAGAACAGCTACTTCCCTTCAGATTCTTAGTTATGTTTAACCCTTTTGTTAAATATTTAATTTTAGTGGGTTTTTTCCCCCCTAAGTAATGTCCATTATGCAGAAAAAATTGAAAATGCCAATATTTCATATTTTGAATTTTGTTTTCTAATGATTTCTAAAATGAAGTTAAATGTTGCAGCAAATGAACAAAAGAATTCATGGATGTGGACTACAGTCAATCTTTGCTGTCAAAGTGTATGAAGTGCAGTTTGAATAGTCAAATTTTGCAGCAAAAGCAAAGTACAAGCCTGGGATTTGGGCCTTGAAGTGTGTGAGTTTTCCAGATCATGAGCTACCAATCCAAATCTTTGAAATAGACATTCTGATACCAGTATTATTGAGCTCATCCACTGTTAACATGTTGCAAAGATAGAGTGCACATTATGCCGATTAATTCTGTGATGGAGCACTCTCTGTACCAGAACCTTTTTTCCACTTCCATTCATGCAGTACTTCAGTTGTATGGTACATTGATCAATTTCAGATTACTTGAAATTATCCAACAAAGTGTAAACTTTTGGCTCCTTGCCACCTTTGTTTTCCAACGAAGTGTGGGGCTGGAAGTAGTGAGATTATCAGGAGAGACAGCATCCTTACGTCCAGCACTGGAGTCTCTGCTTCATCAGATGCTTCTCTATCCTTTGCCCTGGTGTCGAGCTGATGCCCTGAGGACTGTAGCTTCTATGCTATCTTCCCCAGCTCTCCTCTTGGCCCTTGCCTCTCCTAGCCATCGACCAGCCAAAATGAGTCATCACAGTATCAAGAAGGGAGAACATCTCTCACTCCTTAGGCTGTAAGCTTTGCTCCCATTTCTTAAATTTATTTTTCATGGAGTCAGTTATAGGTCCCATATGAAATGATTGATTAAGTAGTTCAGCATGAAGTCATTCTGTAAACCTAGTGCTGAATGACTACACTTGGTATTTTATCATTCTACTTTGAAAATTTCATAATTGTCTAGCACACCATAGTCAACTATTGATGGCTTTCTGTGGTTTAAGGATAGTTGATTTTGCAAATAAAGGAAAACTCTATTGAGTTTAAAATTCCAATTACTCCCCAGACATCTTCATACTTAGTTTTTGCAAGTATAGGATTTGAATGCATTGGGTCAATTTGTTATGACCCAAATCTAAATACGTAGATATACTTTTCTTTTTCCACAATTCTAGGGTTTTGGAATCCCTTATTGAGGGTTCAGAGTATGAAGAAGTACAAGACTGGAGCATCGAGAGTTGTTGTCATCTTCTAGATTCCTTGGAAAGCATTGGCATGAAGGGTCAGGGTATAACCACTCAGCATGTGACTGCTGTCCTTGCCAATTCCCCCTCAAAGGACTGCCAACGCTCAGGTAATTGTAACATTGATATGAAGTCATTTTCCTGCTTGATGCTCTGGGAAGGTTTTATTTGAGAACATTGCTGTACTGGAGCACCAGATAGATATTGATTATTAATATTGATCAAGTCTTTCATGTGCCTTAAAACTTTGCAGATGATGCATTTAGTGAGGTGGCAAGTGATGAATCAAGCATCGAAGATGTGAAGGAGAAAGAAGAAGTAAGTAGAGAGGAAGGATTGGATGAAGATTCTGATGATACCAGCATGGTAGGTTCTTTGCCTTCAGTCACTTTGGTAGGAAATAGTACAAGAGGTCAGACCTAACCTGGCCACTTGAGCTTCTATTGGCTCCAGGCAAACTGAATGGAAATGCAAACATCCTATCCTTTTGCTCAGGTGAACACAAGTGAATGTGATCCCTTAATCTCATTGAACTGCAAACCTCAGATGGAAGTTGATGAAAATAAAAATTGCCAGCATTCTATATGTTGTCAATTTGAAATCTTCAAAACTCTTGAAGCACAAATGGTTATTATGATTAAGTATCAAATCAGTTGTTATTTCTTCCTCAGTTTCCCTACAGAAATTCAGAAGGATCATGTGAAGACTGATTTGAACTGAGAAGAATTTCAGATTCAGGATAAATTTTGCTATATAGGTACCATGCATTGGTAAGCAAGAGTATATCTGCTATACATATATCACTGATACTCAGAATGAACGCTACAATTTTTTCATCTGAGACACCTCTGTCAACTGATGCCATTTATAACTTAATTCAGAGATTTATTATTGGTATTGGGTGCTATGATGTGTAAATCCAATGCACATGAGTAATTTGGATGAATTTGATATGGATAAATAAAAGGGTTTGGTGAGTGGAGCCGAGGAGGAAGAGGAGAGGCGGAGTGCCAGGGAGTTCCTTGCTCAACTTCAACAGCATCTTTCCATTCTCATTACTCTGAGAAGTACCATTCAAGTTGATGCCAGCTTACAGGAATTTGCCTCTAATTTCACCTTTGGTATGCCTGTCTCTCACATCACATGAATACTTAAAAATACTTTCACATACCTTAAAGGATGTGAACAGAACATAAATGTTGGCCTAGGCTAAGGAGATCCTATGTGACTTTCACATTTTTCCAGGGATCAGATTCTGTCTCTCACATCACATGAATACTTAAAAATACTTTCACATGCCTTAAAGGATGTGAACAGAACATAAATGTTGGCCTAGGCTAAGGAGATCCTATGTGATTTTCACATTTTTCCAGGGATCAGATATGACTTATGTGTGGTGCTTTGTGCTTATTAAAAATTTGGGTCAATGTGATAATGGAGCATTGACTTGCATTGGTTACTGTATATACTTATATATACGTGGTGTTTAAAAAAATTTTGCCAAAGCCTTTTCACTAATAATTGCAATACTTTTTATTGCATCAAGTCAATTTTTTTTTAAAACTTCCTGTTGATAGGGGAAAGAAGGTATGTATCTAATTTGAAGAAGATTGAGGTATTGTATCAATGGTAGTTCAAACTTGATAGGTGGAAATGTCTGCCACACAAGCCCACTGATGCATTTGCCTCAGCTAATGAAGCTAACTAAAGTCTGTGCATGTCATGCCAAAGAGACAGAGGGCATGGTGTTTTCCCTTTGTCTTATATGTTGATGACAAAATTTTTGCCTGATTTAAAGGAAATTCATGCATGGTATGTGTCTATAACAATTTAACAGATTTTTTTTGTTACATGGTAAGTTCAAAAAAACTATGCTAATTTGTTTTTGTAATGAAGATAGTAAGCATCATCTGATCAGATGATGGTAAATTGGTTGAGGTCAGATTTAATCAATTTAATAATTTAATACATATGGATATATAATGGAAGGTTTCACATGTTCCTATGGTCACAGCATATGCTCAAAGTGGCCCCCACATTTTCAAACACAAACATGCAGCTGCTGTTGCTATTCCTGAATTGCTCCAGCGATGATGCTCAGCTCCAGATGTCTGGTGCTTTTTCTCATCCTTCAAGTTTGAAATAGTCACAGATTCAATTTCTGTAAAACTTAGCAAAATTCTACTTTCTTTCTTCCATATGTAGTTTATCAAATATTGAACCAATTGGATAAAAGTTACTGTCATTCCTACAAAAAATTAATTGACATAGTTTTTGTGGAACACTGTGGCTTTGTAAGACAGACCCTAAATTTTGAGTGTGCAAATTGTCATTTTAAAATTCATTTTCCTTGTACAAGAAGTCTGATAAATCCTTTTTTTTTTTCTTTTTAGAGGCTTTAAAAGTCTTAAAGTAATGAACTTGTTGAAGTTGCCCAAATAAATTGGATTTTATTTTGTAATTTCAAAAATAATCAAGGAGAAGGAAACCTGAAGTTTTACTTTAATATAACCTCCAACATTTTCAATGCACTTTACAGAACTTCTTCTCAGGTGCTCCTCTAGTCAGTATACCATTGTTATGCACAATGTTAGATTCAGGAAAATATTGCATGCTGAAAAGGAAACTGGTGATGAAATGATGATGGTCTGAAGCCACAAGGATCAGCATAGGACAGGTTTTTTTTTTTTTTTCAAGGGTTTGGAACAGGATTAAAACCCTGATTAAGGAGACAAGCAGATGAAAGCTAATCCTTTTACTTTCATGCTTGTATTCAGGAACTATCAATAAATCAACTCAACCATTCAACTAGAATAATTCAATATTTAGCATTTGATAGTGAAAAAAGAGAGAAGAGGAAATAGATGAAATGAAAAAATTTGAACAGTTACACCAAAAAATGTATCTGGATTTGAATGTAACAGCTTGATTTATTGGAGTAATTTCTTTAGGTGTGTTTTTCCTCTATTAAAATAGTTATTGATTTTGACAATCCCTCACTTCTAGGAATGTCCCAGCAAGAGAGTGGAATACTCTTGAATGCAGATGCTGTCTATATATCCTCTTATGCATCTCTCCTACTATCCCTGAAACTCCAAAAAGTTGGATTCTATGAAGATAAGGTTGTGAGAGTACCATTCTCTGAGGTGAGTTTTAGCATCTAAACCTCTGGGTTCTGTGTGTGCAAATGACATTTGCAGTGTGAAATGGGAAATTGCTACCTAGTAGAGGGGAATACAGAGTGGGAAGTGACATTTGATCATGACCTAGGTTTCTTTTGCCTTCAGATCTGATGTCATTCAATAATAAGGACTTGCTCCCTGCAATTCCAACACCTGAGTTGCTGCTTGAGTTACTGGAAATGCTTGAGGGCTTTTTTTTATGTATGTATATTTTTTGAATTGTTGGAATGGAATTTACTCACTGTATTCTGCAAAGACTCATATCCATGGTGGCTAATTTTCCTAGTCTCTGATATCCCATTCTTTCTTCTTTCCCTTTTTACTTCTCTGCACACAGATTCAAGGTCATTCTGATGCTGAAGTGATTTGTGTTAAATCAATTGGCTGTAATTTTCTTCAAGTTGAGTAATCATTTTCCCTGAGATTTTGCTAAATGCCAGCTACATTGTTTTGCAAATGAATTTGTACCACCTTTAACATGGGGCCCATGTTTTTCTTTGGAGGAATCCTCCCAACTTGGATGGTGGTGCTTTTTGTGACAGCGCATGGGCAACATCCAATGTATGTAGAGTCAACTAGAGTTGATTGGAGAACATTGAGGCCAAGAATAAAGTATAAAGGAAACTGTTTTTGCCCTTTGCAAGGGAAGTGATGGGTTGGAATAACATAATGTTTACAAGAACGTCCAAGAAGGTGTGGAAGGATAAATTGCACCAGGGAAATTTTAAGAGAAACAATCAAGTATTTGTAGAAAGGAGGAAGCATACAAAAGCTGAATACAAGGAATGAGAGCTATGGAACAAAGCCCCAGTCTTTAGGTCATGTATTCCATCGCACCTACAGATTGTTAGGGATTCTGCTAGATATGAAGATATCAAAGTAACCAAATCATGGACATCAGCAGCCATTGGTATCTTCAAATACACAGTCCAAGTAAGTCAAGTATATGACATCCAGACCTTGGGACATGAGAGTGCATGACTGCCAAACCTGGTGCTTGGCAACAATCCTGTGTCTTGACGACTTGTCTATCTTTTCATATGGGCCTTGTGGTGTCATCTTTGCTGTACAGCAGCTCCCAAGAGCTGCTCCCACCAATTGATGTAATGTGGCGCTATGAAGTGGGATTAAGACATCTATCCTTCGGAATTGAAAAAATAGTAGTACCTCCTCTGCCACCTCATTGGATGCTCCATTGAGTTAGCATGCACAATGTTAAAGGTGGTACAAATTCATTTGCAAATAACTAGAATTTAGTTCTCAATCCTATTAACATTAAAAGAAAGTGTCATGATGTAGAATTAAAAGAGTACTTCTTGATATTTTCTTACACCTTACACAATGCCTTGCATTTTTGCAACCCATTACATAATGATCATAAACTTGAAGAGAAATTGGGGTACTGCATTCCCTGAATGGGATAGGTTTTGAGATGCCCTTGAAAATCTTGCAACAATATTTTGAAGATCCCAGGAAATACAGTATGTGATTGAAGAAGATAAGAGGACACCAGAACCTCCTTCTTTTTGCATGCTTTACAGGGTTTCTCAGTAATAACTCTTAACACAAGATATAATTTGACATGGACACATTTATTAATTCTGCTATAACGTGACAAAGGCATTCATTGGGTGAGTTGCTTTTGCCACTCTATGGATGGGTGAATCAGAGTTCAGCAGATTCTGAAGTGCTGAGAGAAAAAGCCTTCAAAAGAATTGTCACATGTAGTCAAGGTTCTAGATCCAAATGTCTTAGCTGTTGGGTGAGTGCAAAAATAAATTAAAGTTATTGTAAAATTTTCTCCTGTGGTAAAACAGCTGGAGAAAAACAAGTGAAAATGTTTGACAGTTTAGGAAATGCATGAAAGTATTTTTAAAATTCCCTTGTTGCACCATCCACAATCTCATAATCGGGGGGCAGGTTTTTATCCACTAATCCGCAAGTGCTGAAATCTGCAAGTAACACATAGAAAACATAAGCCAGATGTGGCTTTTCCTGGAAATCAAGGAGAAAATATATTTTGAAAATCAATACCCCACTGTACAGTACAGATACTTTTTCAATAGAGAGAAGGTGAAATATGCATTTTTGTAATGGTATGCATAATTTTCTGTCCAGAAATATGCACTTCCATCAGGGAGCTTTGCCCCTATGATGCTGCACTAATATGCATTTGCATAAGAATTTGCTCCCTATTCACTACTACTTAATGATTGTAAAGAATAGGGAATTTTTTTATGCCTCACTTGGGAGATTGATTAAATATGCCTACAATTGATTATAGAACTCTCTCCAAAGTTGATGTCTTCTGTTTGTTTTCATTGTCTCATATTGGATGTCTTAATCAATGTTTTTCCGGTTATCATCAATGTTCAATAATCCATACTAATGACCCCAACCTGAGGGGTGTGCTGAACTAACATGGGCCATCTTGATAGACAACATTTGTGAGAGAAGTGTATGGGAGTGGTGTCCTGGTGTATGTGTCTGAATCTTGGCTGGCTGAAGTCTATCAAGGGGTTCTTGCTTCCACCCTCTATGGACATGTCCCAAACAATCTTTTCCCTTCTTCTGCACTCTTCTCTCTCCTCTCAGGTAACTACACTTACCCACTAATCTCACTAACATGAGGCTGTCAGTGAGAGTAGGATCAGTTCTTATCCTGCATGAAGCATGTGATATGATCCTTCATTCTGGCTTTTCTCTTATCTCAGACCTAGATGGTTTGGGCTGTCATGAGCCAGGGGGACAACTCTTGGCAGAATTCCGGAAGTTGGAGAAGGCCTCTCTCACTGCCTCTAATGTTGAACCTCCCTTGCAGATTGTGGCAGGTATTGCATGCTCTGTTGGATCAGTGGGTCATCTTGTCTGTCTAAGCATGTAAAAGAATACAGTATACAGACTCATAACCTGATATTCAACATTTTCTGTTTTAATTGCAAGGAAAGATCTGAGTTCATTCTCAAATGATTTTGCCAATCATCAGATGTGATCATTCACAAGTACATCAAGACATCTATCCTTCTCCTATTGGAGCATTTTCTATTTGAGTGTGGAACATGAAAGACTCAGCTCCCTCCCTCTTCTGATCAGGAAAGATTGTGAGTCGAGAGCTGCTAATGGCATCCTGGGATGCAATTGTTTCCATCCTGTCATCTGGGAATCATCATGCTGCTGCTCTTGAGGGTCTCCAAAAGGCAGCTCGATTGGCCAATATTCTTGGTGAGTTTTATCATTTCCTTGGCCTCCTAAAATTGTCATTCAACTTATGATTTTCACCCCATTATGGCTTTTTCTTTTAATTTTCAGGCTCTGATTTAAAATTGTAAAAGACCTACATCTGATAATCATTTTGATATTTTCCATATAGGCTTTCAGAGTCGATGTGGGGAAGTGTTTGGCCTGATGATGAGGAGTGCATTCCCTGGTGGATTGGATGCCCAGAAGTTCCTCCCTCTCTCACCTATTCAGGTCCTCACCTGTGAGGTTCTCCTTTCTCGAGGTCTTGAGCTGGGATCTCATTGTTCTCAGTGCTGGCCTCATCTCTTCCTGTAAGTTATTCCATGGAATACCCCCTGAGTATTGCAACAATTTCATTTCTCTCTCTCTTAGGATTCTTCAGTATGTCTTTTGCAAGTTAATGGTAGTCAATTGGAGGTTAGTCACTGAAGTCTGTTTGTAATTTAATAGGTGCTGCCGGATTGTGATGATGCGAGAAAGGGACTGCTTCTCCAGCAGGTTTGTTTGTATCACTTTTTGTGACAGGTGTTGAGAAATATGGTTGAATATACAGGGTGTCCATAAAGTTACTTCCCTATTTCAAAAGATCCTATCTCCATTGTGGATTGGCCTAGAAACTTCATATTCAGCACAGATGATGTACAGCCAATGGGATTTATAATAGCCAAGTTTCCAAAATTTTCCAAAAAGTTTTTGGATATCACCACCTGTACTGGCACAAGACACAGGTCCCTCCACACTTTGGGAGATGCATCCAGTCTCTTCTCCAACATACGTTCCAGGACTGTGTGGTCAGCAGGGCTATCCCTTAGTCCTAGCCACCAAGGTCACAGGATCTTACACCTGTGGTCTTCTGGCTGTGGAGTTTACTGAATTCTGGCTGTGGGGTTTACAGTGGCTGTCCTTTGAACTTAGTGGAGTTCAAGGAATACATAGTGGCGCCATGCTGCACCAGATTCTGACATCGTCATCTGACTAATTATGTTCTGTTGTCTACCTCTTCAGTATATGGATGGAGGCAGCAGTAGTGGGGGTTGGCCACATCGACTACCTGCAGGTTTGGTCATGCCATCCATGCAGATCTTGGTATATGTGCTGACTTTGGACTATGTGTTTGGCTGGTATAGTGCCACCCTGGTGGTGATTTCCAGAACCTTTTTGGAAACCTTTGGAAACTTGGCTATCATAAATCCCATTGGATGTACTTTGTATGTGCCGAATATGACTTTTCTAGGCCACTCTGTAATGGAGATAGGGCCTTTTGAAATAGGGAAGTAACTTTATGGACACCCTGTTTATGCAGATTATGCCATTGCGTCCCCAATGGTAGAACTCTATTATACAGGTGTAATTTATGTTGCTCCACAGTATCTTTATTTGGCATTTTATGCATTTGATTCATCATGGTCTTCATGTTCTCAAGAATGTCTACTTCATCTTCTTGTAGGAATCATCAAGAATGTGAAGACATTGGGGACCTCTTAGACTTTCTCAGTAAGATGGGAGTAATGGTGAATTCTGACCTTCCCTTGCCATCAAGTATAGAAGCCCCATGCATAAGTCTGCTTGTGGCACTTGTGGACAGGTATGAATCTTTTGCTGATATTCATTTACTGAAAAGATTCTATGATTCTTTAAATTTATTTCGGATTCTACAGCATGACAGTCACTCACACTAGGCAAAAAATTTATTAAAAAATTCACTGGAACTTCAAAACTCCAATAGAAGACAAGGAATAAAATGTCAGCTTCTGGCATTATGGCAAATATGGGGTGTTTCAGTCAACTAGTTATCAATTTAAAATGATATAATTTTTAATGTATATAAGCTATAGTGGTGATTCACATGCCACTAAATAGAGCAAGCTTCAAAGCTTTCAAACTTTCGAAGTTCATGTGCATTTCAGCATAGGGTATGCTCAATGTGACAAACAAGGGCATTGTTGACAGCATGGAAATGTACAAGCATGTCATCCATCAAGCTATTCAGCATCTCCCTGTCAATTTAACAGACAATCCACTATGGCTTGTTTTAGTTCAAGGACTGACCAAGCAACTCTCTTGAACACTTTTTCATTTAGGTATTCCCAACAGAAAAAGTCATTTGGGCTGATGTTGGGGCTAGTTGGGGGCCACAACAAACCACTGATGAACATGTGTGAATAGCAATTTGAGATGATGCGCTCACAAAATGTAATAAGTTGTTCACCTGTTCATACTGAACCACATCAAGTTTGGATTGCCAACTGCACAGAAAAAGATTTGAAGTCTGCTCCATTAATCATGTTTTATATTATTCTAAAATGGNCTCTTCAGTATATGGATGGAGGCAGCAGTAGTGGGGGTTGGCCACATCGACTACCTGCAGGTTTGGTCATGCCATCCATGCAGATCTTGGTATATGTGCTGACTTTGGACTGTGTGTTTGGCTGGTATAGTGCCACCCTGGAGGTGATTTCCAGAACCTTTTTGGAAACCTTTGGAAACTTGGCTATCATAAATCCCATTGGATGTACTTTGTATGCGCCGAATATGACTTTTCTAGGCCACTCTGTAATGGAGATAGGGCCTTTTGAAATAGGGAAGTAACTTTATGGACACCCTGTTTATGCAGATTATGCCATTGCGTCCCCAATGGTAGAACTCTATTATACAGGTGTAATTTATGTTGCTCCACAGTATCTTTATTTGGCATTTTATGCATTTGATTCATCATGGTCTTCATGTTCTCAAGAATGTCTACTTCATCTTCTTGTAGGAATCATCAAGAATGTGAAGACATTGGGGACCTCTTAGACTTTCTCAGTAAGATGGGAGTAATGGTGAATTCTGACCTTCCCTTGCCATCAAGTATAGAAGCCCCATGCATAAGTCTGCTTGTGGCACTTGTGGACAGGTATGAATCTTTAGCTGATATTCATTTACTGAAAAGATTCTATGATTCTTTAAATTTATTTCGGATTCTACAGCATGACAGTCACTCACACTAGGCAAAAAATTGTGAAAAAATTCACTGGAACTTCAAAACTCCAATAGAAGACAAGGAATAAAATGTCAGCTTCTGGCATTATGGCAAATACGGGGTGTTTCAGTCAACTAGTCATCATTTTAAAATGATATAATTTTTAATGTATATAAGCTATAGTGGTGATTCACATGCCACTAAATAGAGCAAGCTTCAAAGCTTTCAAACTTTCAAAGTTCATGTGCAGTTCAGCATAGGGTATGCTCAATGTGACAAACAAGGGCATTGTTGACAGCATGGAAATGTACAAGCATGTCATCCATCAAGCTATTCAGCATCTCACTGTCAATTTAACAGACAATCCACTATGGCTTGTTTTAGTTCAGGGACTGACCAAGCAACTCTCTTGAACACTTTTTCATTTAGGTATTCCCAACAGAAAAAGTCATTTGGGCTGATGTTGGGGCTAGTTGGGGGCCACAACAAACCACTGATGAACATGTGTGAATAGCAATTTGAGATGATGCGCTCACAAAATGTAATAAGTTGTTCACCTGTTCATACTGAACCGCATCAAGTTTGGATTGCCAACTGCACAGAAAAAACTTTGAAGTCTGCTCTATTTAATGGTAGGAGAGTCATCTTGGTAGCTTTTATGCTTCATGTTTTATATTATTCTAAAATGGTGACTAATTGACTGAAACACCCTGTATAACTTTTGCTGGACTTTCAGTACAACACACATAGGTAGAGAAATAAAAATTTTCTATCCATTATGTTCTGTGACTTATAAAAAGCTTATATGTTTGTTACTAAAGTGGTGCATGATACAATAGATGCAGTTGGTGCTGAAACCATACCACATCCTGCTTATTACAGATTCCCCTTTGACATTTGACTCCTCAAACTGTAGAGCAATCTGAAAGGCTATGATTCAGCACCAAAATTGAGCTCAAAGTAGTTGTGACAAAGGACCTTCAACGCATTTTGGAAAGTGGCATGCAATATCCATATGACTCATGAGTATACTGTTGGGATGAATGAATGACATTGCATAGAGATTATGTTGAAAGATAGGTTTACCAGGACCTGGACATCACACAAGGCTGCAATATATTTAGTTTTACTACTTGAAGCACAACCCTTATGAATTCATTTCAATGAGGATGTAAACTGGGTTGAGTGCTTTGTAATGCAGTTATATGACCCTATCCTGATTGATGTGGTAAAAATCAAGCATAAAACGATTTTGGTGGCTTCTCAACTTTTTTAAATAATGATTTTCAATTATCTGCTTGCAATTACAAAACAGTAAACTTTGAAAATTTAACAATGACTTTTGAAATTCATGTGCTGCTTTGTCATTTGTCAACTGTTTCCCTTTTCACAGTTATGAACCATGAATTATTTTCATGTTGGAAAATATAAGCTCTGAGGTATGGAGTAAAATGGACTAATTCAAGATTAATGACTCCTTTTCGAATATTTTCTCCCACTCCATCCTCCTGTTTGTCTACTTTTTTGGCTTGTAGTTCGGTAGTACTTCTTCAGCAGTCTGCTTTCAGTCTGTATGACCTGTCTGACCAAACTGATTTTCAATGCAGCGTATTCCTAAGTTCATTGCAGCCGAAATAGTCTATTATTACAATACAATTACAGGGTATGTGTGTGATTCTTATTGCAGATTATTTGAAGAAGGCTGGAGTAAACTGAACCAAAGTGCCCTGCTGTCATTCCTGGAATACTTGTGTGAGACAAGTAATGAAGAGATGTTGCAGACAGGGGAGAAGCCCAATCTGCTTGGCACTCATCTCCACTATCGAGATAGATGGCATGGGGTGCGAGCCTCATTGATCAGGGCCCAGCAGTGGAGAAAGTTGAGCATGAAACGAGGAAGGAGTCTAGAAGAGATATGTCTCCTCCTTCGTGTCACACAATGCATGCTTGGTTGCATACGTGGTGGACGTCCCCTCCTCCATCTGATGAAGGCCTGGAGTATTATTGGACCATATCTAATTCAGGTCTTTCTCAACCTCCCCTTATATAGGCATGAAGAAATGATTAAGGAAGCCTCATGACCTGAATGTGGCTATTTTTTGTGATCACTATCATAGCCTTTTCATCTAAAAGCATTACTGATTACCTCTTTATATTAGCAATGTCAAATCATTTGCTGTGTATTGGTGCAGACATTCCCAATCACTTGCTATAATGCATCCAGCTCTTGCCCCACACTTCTTGGATGAGCTTCAAATTGATGAATTCTTACTCCCACAGGCATGCTGCCATAGTGATGTTCAGGTCGGGAAGATGGCTGCAGCATCCTTGCAGGATATAGTGAATGCATTTCTAGGAAATGCTCGTGAACTTCCTTACTTCCACTTCCATGAAGCCCTCTTCAAGCCCTTTGAGACCTTGCTTTCTCTTGACCTGTGTGACTCCCATGTCCAGGATCATGTGAGTCATGATCATGTGCATTTTTTTTGCTTTGACTTGTGATTTTTCTATATTTTTCTTGTGCTTTGTGTCTGTGAACACACAGATCCTAGGAAGCCTGAGTGGTTTCATTGAGGGATGCTCTGAGGAGATCGGATCAGGTTGGAGGCCACTGTTTGGGGCTTTGAAGGCTGCACACTCATTTGCCAGCCTTCAAGATGCTNTTCCTGGAATACTTGTGTGAGACAAGTAATGAAGAGATGTTGCAGACAGGGGAGAAGCCCAATCTGCTTGGCACTCATCTCCACTATCGAGATAGATGGCATGGGGTGCGAGCCTCATTGATCAGGGCCCAGCAGTGGAGAAAGTTGAGCATGAAACGAGGAAGGAGTCTAGAAGAGATATGTCTCCTCCTTCGTGTCACACAATGCATGCTTGGTTGCATACGTGGTGGACGTCCCCTCCTCCATCTGATGAAGGCCTGGAGTATTATTGGACCATATCTAATTCAGGTCTTTCTCAACCTCCCCTTATATAGGCATGAAGAAATGATTAAGGAAGCCTCATGACCTGAATGTGGCTATTTTTTGTGATCACTATCACAGCCTTTTCATCTAAAAGCATTACTGATTACCTCTTTATATTAGCAATGTCAAATCATTTGCTGTGTATTGGTGCAGACATTCCCAATCACTTGCTATAATGCATCCAGCTCTTGCCCCACACTTCTTGGATGAGCTTCAAATTGATGAATTCTTACTCCCACAGGCATGCTGCCATAGTGATGTTCAGGTCGGGAAGATGGCTGCAGCATCCTTGCAGGATATAGTGAATGCATTTCTAGGAAATGCTCGTGAACTTCCTTACTTCCACTTCCATGAAGCCCTCTTCAAGCCCTTTGAGACCTTGCTTTCTCTTGACCTGTGTGACTCCCATGTCCAGGATCATGTGAGTCATGATCATGTGCATTTTTTTTGCTTTGACTTGTGATTTTTCTATATTTTTCTTGTGCTTTGTGTCTGTGAACACACAGATCCTAGGAAGCCTGAGTGGTTTCATTGAGGGATGCTCTGAGGAGATCGGATCAGGTTGGAGGCCACTGTTTGGGGCTTTGAAGGCTGCACACTCATTTGCCAGCCTTCAAGATGCTTTTATGGCATTCTTCCATCTTCAGGTTCCACTTGTGTTTGCCAATGCCTCCCTTGACTCCATTCTCTGCCTCCTAAAGCATCTCCTTAGTGCAAGTAAGTGCAGGACTGTACACAATTACATTTTAAGCTGAGATAAATGTCAGGAAGAGATGTTCGTTAAGCTTGCTTTCATAGGTAACCAGTCTATTGCAGTCATATGAGAACTGATGCCAATCTCAGTTTACAGTGAAAGCAGGACCCTGTTATCCTATTTTTGAAATGAGTTTTAGCAATTGCTCTCAATTCCTGCACTGATATATTGCAGAAGAAGTGACTTGGGGAAAGCATGTACTTGGGTACCTGGAAAAATGCTCGCATATATTGTGCTCGTTATATCTCATGCCATCTTCACCTACTTTTCATTCAGCTTACAGGTTAGTCTTCTTTCCACCTCTCCTGTTTTTTGTATTTCAATTTTGTTCATGACATTTTATGGGTTCTCATTTATAGGGTCAAAGTATCTGAAATGCCCCCTATAGTAAGGACATGTGAGGGAAGCTGTGGTTTGATGCAGTTTCATGGTGAGGATACCTTGATAGAGAAATGGGTTTCATTCTCTGAGTCATCCCTCTCCCCACCTGATCTCCAGCATCTGTCTCTTGAGAGTCTAGACTCACCTCGACGAATATTGCACGTCTGGTGAGTGTCACTGAGTGAAACTTCATCCTGATATACTCTGTTGCTTTTTCTTGTGTTCAGTGGGAAATAGTTGAAGGCATGGATCAATGTGGAAGTGTAGAATATGATTTCCAAGGATATTGCTTTGGCCAGATACATGGCCAGATATCCATCATGGTCAGAGTTCAGAACAGCCAACTTCCACTGGAAAATTCCAGAGGTAAAAACTCTAAATACTGCTTATTTCATGTTGCAAATGACTGCAGTGTATTCTATTTTGAAAATGGTCCCAAACCAAAATTTGAGGAAAACTGATTACCAAAGTCAAACTGTATTATTCTTCAGACTCTGGCTAGGAAACAATTACTGCATTTAAGAAGAAGAAAACAAATTACCTTCTCAAAATTACCTACTCTTTACCTTGAAGATATATACAGAATAACTGAAAACATGACAGGTCATGCTTAACTGGACTACCAGTTGTTGAGGCCTGGGGAATGGAAAGGAAAGCTTATAAAAGAGCCTCGTCATTGCCATTCATTTTAGATTTTTTTCAATCAAAAGAAGAACCATAAACTATGAACTCACTTGAAGACTGAAGACAATAATTCTTGCCAACATATTGTATACCATAGATATTATATAATATATGTATTTTACATCCCATACAATGTACTGCATGTTTTATGCCATTGCTTATTGATTGAAATACAGAATATGCAAAGAGATTATGAGACAGTTTTGGCAAGTTCCAAGAATTTGCAGAAATTAAAGGTGGAACAAACAAACCTAATTATTCTTGAAACTCCACTGTTGTGCTCTTCTCCTTACTTCAAGTTTTACTCTCTCCATACTGCTATCATAATGGCAGAAACTTCTTCCATGACTATCTGTCTCATACTGTAGTCTCATGATCTCTGATCTATAATGGGTCTCCACCCCATGTTTAGTATTGATAGTAATGCTTCAACTGCCCAACCCAGTCACTTTGAAGCTGAGACCCTCTTAAGCATTCTCATCATATTGGGAGTGATTTTCTGCTGTCTATCATGTCTCCTTTGCCTCTATGTGTATGGGTACAAGGGAATGTTTAAGAAGCAAGGGAAAATGGAGCTGCAGTTGAAAGGGCATACTGGCATACTGGGCATACCCAAGGGACATAAAAGCATTAAAAGCCTGCAAAGTCAGAAGAGATCACCCAATAATAACAGAATTCCTCCTCATAAGACACTTTTGGATTATCCATGGAGTGTTATGACAACCACCACCTCCTTCCAAGATTCCACTGAACAGCCTGGAAAAGCAACAAAGAAGCATGTTCACCCAGGAAGAAAGGTCAAGATGCTGCAACAGAAACAGAAAGTTACTCAAAATCGAAAGTATGCATCACTCATCACTAGGAAGAGGAAGATTTGGAAGCAATCAAGGATACCATTGAGAAAAAAGGTTTTCCCAAAGAACTGAATATATATTGATGATGAATAAAGATTGGGTATTCTAAATTCATGCTAGTCAGTTTATACCTATCAGGGTGTCCTCACCATTTATTTTTACTGTCTTGTGAGGCTGCCTCAGGTGCCCTGGCTTCACCTATCAAGCATTATCATTTCTCAAAGCATATTTTACTTTTCTATGGTCTCAAGGTCTTCTCGAGTTTACATGTTACATGTCCCATGTAAACTGTTTACAGTTTACATGGGAGGTTAAAAATTTCCTGAAATTAGGGATTCCAGAAGGTACAGCACTGGTACAATCCAATGTGTAAATTGCAACATACCTGTAGCTAGCTGATTTTGTACGTGAACCTTCATGTGGAAAAAAAAGGAGTTTGATTTGTGTTTCATGGCACTATGTCCTATACTGTATTATTCATATCCTACCTGCTTATGAAAATTAAATGGTTAACTCAGTGACTATTGCAGGTGACTTGTTGCAGAAATATATTCCAAGACTAGATAGGGAATGCTGGTAGTGAAGTTTATTACTTTGTTCATGACTATTCTTTGTTTATTAAGAAAGTTAGAATATACTCCAGAAGGCTCGCTTCCCACTCTGTGCATGTTGCATGGAATAATACAGGGAGAAATCAGCTTAATTCTGACATTTTTGCTTCAAATACCTTGCCAAATCATGATTGCAATTCATTCCACTTTTGTCTTTTAGAAAGCAGCAGCACTGGATTAATTCAATATGGCATATTGGGATATTTGACACTGCTATGCAATTGTAGAGTTTGACTTTTTTTACTAAGACAAAGGTAAGCCTTTGTTACCCAGGCTCAACACAACACAAGGAAATCAGAAAAATTGATAATGACCTGTGTCAACAAGTGATGCAGAGGGAGAGAAAATGGGTTCTGGATTGTATTTGAAATAGTTCATCTGTCCACCATCTTTCATTAGTAGATCAAGAAAAACTCATAGAGACATAGTTTAATTATTTTCTTGAAAGTAATTCAAATTTGTAACTTTGTTACAGATAAAAAAAAAATAAATAAAATATGTAAGATTTAAGCCGATCACCCTGTAATTCATTACTTTGTTAATATGAAAGTGGGAGTAATGGGTAAAAATGGAATTGCAAGAGGATTCAAGGACAGGTAATACTGAAAACCAGCCAGGAATAAGAAAAAAGAAATAAGTGACATGACAAAGGGGACTGGGGGCCTTGAATCTGTGAGTGGAGACTTCTCTTCTGGTGAGACATTCTAGACTGTCCTCAAGTACACGTGCACACTAAAACAATGAATACCTTTCCATTACTAGTGCTATTAGAACCACTTGATATTGCTTGCAATGCAGTTAACAACATTTTGATGGGGATCTGGAGTCACAGGATTGTTGTATATGCCACTGTCTTACCTCTGCCCTATGGAAGAGGTTGGAGTGCATGAAAGGTCTCTTTCCACTGTCCATTATTCAGAAAATTTTATGGGAAAGTCAATGAAGTACCATTTCTCTAATGCCAGAGGTCCTAGTAACTTGTTATTATCCAGAAAGGTTAGAGTACTACACATGCTTCATTATCATTTTTATTACAGGTATGTCCTGCTAGAGGGTCTGTTGAGCTGTGTTCCACAGTGCATCCCTGATCTTCAGTGTTCTGTTGTTGATCTCTTTGTCACTATCGTCAAGGAGTTGCCTGGTGAGCTACCTTTGTGTTATTTCTAAACTTTTGTTCAACACACTGCATTTTCTGCCCTTGACTTATGCAAAGCTTTCATGTTTTGTTTTGTATTGAACATAACCTAATTGGCATACCATCATATCTTCATTAGGACCATGAAACAAAAGACTGCTTCTTGCAGACTTGATCAATGTACAAAAAGAAACTGGTCCTTACTGCAATTATGCTGTTTTAACAGAAGATATCTGGAATCCTTTTGAGATTTCTACCACATCCCATTGCTAAGTCAATCCAGAAAGTAATCAAATCCTTGAGGATTTTAGATGTGAACTTCTGACTTCAAGCCAAGATTTATGCTTGACTGTATCTGGGAAAGGTCTGCCCCCACTTTGTGCAATCTGTTGCTGTTCAGAGCCCAAACTACCATTTTCACTTGATCATCTCATTCAGCATAGTCATAAACTGAGTCATTGCATCTTTAATAAATGGACTTAATATTTCATGACATTGTTTCTGTATAACTTGAGATATTCAAGTAAGAATAATATTTCTTGAGCATGCTAATTTGCTGAGACATACATCAAGTTCAGGCTTCATGGGCCTAATATTGACCAAGCAAAGCTTCAGAATGGGGTACAGCTCCAAGCATACTGATACTGAAAGTAGGCATGACTTATTCATGGTAGACAATGTCTTACTTCTGATTGATGATACCAGAGCAGTACTGAAACAAAAGTGTGAGTATAAGAATAGAGGATTGAAGGATGGACCATACTGGTGAGTCACTTCAGAAAGTAAAGTCTCTGTTGCTACTGGTTTTGATGTGAAAGTTTTCTTCAATTCCTAATGTGAAGCTAAGAAAGTCCTTTCTATACTGCTAAGTGTTGGTAGATATTGCACCAGTAATGAGACTTGTACATGACTTGTCTGCCCTTCATCATTACCTTTCACTCCCTTAGACTCACCAAAGCTACCTGTTTTGCATGGGGATCTCATACCAGGTCCAAAATGTATGGTTTGGAAGCTTAACTTGTGCTTGATGTCCAAACTCAATATCATAATATATTTTGTGAATCAATTGAGTTCATTGCTACTACATGATAATAGTTATGATTTTAATATTTAGCTCCTTTTCAAGTTGAAATTTCTTCATTTGATCAACATCAATCCAATTAGAATCATAGATATGTCTTGGCTTGCAAGTCATATAAAACAATTTGCATCTATGAAGACATGAATATTTCATTATGTCTGAATTACCATCAGACAAGTGGACCTAAGAAAAAACCTTTTTCAAGAAACTTGCCAAAGAAGAGTGCCTCCTCTAGATCAAGCTACCACTGACTGGACTAGCCATACAGGGTGGCCACAAATTAGCAGACAATTTGGAGGGCTTGTCATTTTTTATTGAGAACGCATACAGAAAACTTATTTACTACAAAACAGTCTCCCAAAATCAAAGTTTTTTCACAGATGCTCAATGTGGGCTCCTTTGGTAACACGACATGCATTCCACCTATAGACAATTTCATTCCACACTCATCATAACATATCCTGATCAACCTTGACCAGGATTCCTATGGATAACACACCCTGTCTTGGTAAACTGCAAATGCCATCAGACAATTGATGACCTGCTACGAGGGTTCTTTGCAAACTTCGTGCGAAAACGATGCTGTTCAACTGTAGCAGAATGCATTTCTTCATATGCGAAACAGCAAAATGCATGTTCACTTCCACTGAACTCCTCCATTACTGTCCATCCAATCGTCATGCCACTAGCAGTAAAATTATGAACCTTCATCTATATGAGGAAAAAATTTGAATGTTAGGAGACTGTTTTGTAGTAAATAAGTTTTCTGTATGTGTTCTCAATAAAAAATTACAAACCCTCCAAATTGTCCACTAATTTGTGGCTACCCTGTATGTGCAAACTAGCCAAAATGTCTCTAATTCATTTTACCTGTGATTTATTCTACTTCACCCTTTATTTTGTTGAGATTTTACTGTTCTTTTCATATGTGACAGACCATCAATTCCTTTCCAGATGAGAGATTCTCCTTGTACATGGTGAAGCATATCTTATTGCCAACTATTCAGAGTTGGGTGAAAGATCGTGGGATCATTCCATCATCATCTTCCTGTACTCTTGGCACATTGAGCCATATCCTTGGAGTCTCTACTGAGCTGGGTCTTTTTCATCTTGCAAGTGAGAGAAGCTTGTATAGTTTGCATTTCCTATACAGTGAAAAATATGGTTTGACAAAGGCCTCAACCTTTTCTTAAAACTGAACTTTTGTTTCTTATATGCAGATTGAAAATTAGTGGAAGTTGTCCATTTTTTGGCATGATTTGTTCCAAAAATTAATCCAGTATTAATCTTATTGATTTATATGTAAATTCCAATTAACACTGTGATCATAATTTTAAAGTTATAATTGGACTACAAAAATGGGAACAGGGTGATGCACAAGCAGGACAGCACTGTATACTCCAAGTTTTGAAACTTCTCTTTCTAATTGTATGTACCATTTGTATGTACCATTCACATAATGGTCTCATGGAATGTTCAGCACTAAGTTTAAAGCACATAGTTGGCACAGGAGAACATTCATACAGTATGAAATATATTCATTAGCTTGGATAGTGGATGTACATGGTGTCCCCAAACTTGTACTGTAGTATACATGGTCTCAATTAAAATTTGATGTTTTGATACAGTCCCTCTGTTGCTTCCTCATTCTCATACTAGCTTTAGATCGCACTAGCTCAAAAATGTGGTTGCTATTCTTTATGGAAGGAATACCACACCTTTCCTGTCTTTCAGGACTGCATAGCGAGAAGAATGAAGGAGAGAGCCTCTTTCTCCTCTGGAGTTTGATGACCCTTCTCCTGGATTCTTTGGCACTTCCAATGCCATCACTCACACCCTCATGTATCAAGTAAGTCTGAAAACCATTTGCAGTAGATTAGAAACCTAGAGAGGAACAATATGGGCTATCCAATATCCAACACTATAGTGGGTCCCCTTTTGCTAAAGTATTTCATGTCATCACTCTAAGGATTAATGTGTAATTGCAGTGTATCCCTCTCCTATTGGAAGATGGATGCAGGGCCTCCTAACGCTCTGCTTTTAAAGGAGTCTGCCCAGAACAAAGGAATTTTGACCTAAAAACCAAATTTGACTAACTTCTCAAGGATGTAAGATGACTTCATTACATAGTATTGTAAAGTCATGCATCATGACTTTAGTTGTCCATGCATTTCTTATGCAATCACCCTCTCCCTCGTGTAGTTATTGCTTCTGTCTGCAGATGACAATTCAATGGTGTTAGAGTCAGGGGTTTTGTAAATTAATTATTTGCATAAAATTCTCTAAATTTCCTAAGAAAGTGCAATTCTTATTTGAATGTAGCAGCCCAAGAGAAGTTATAGTTACCAATATAAATGCCCCTGGGTGCTCCTGAAGAAAGTTCCCAACTTATGTGGCTTCAAGTAGAATACCTTTCAAGATATTGGCAGAAAAGTTACAGAACATAATATCCAAGATGTGCAGGTGGTTCCATGAGAATTTTCTTGTAATGGATATGGTTAAAAGCCCAAGTACTTCTTTCTTGCATAGTCAAATGATATTGTTCATCTGTCAACCTATTCAGCTAGATTTGACCACGGGACAAGTCTGATTGTATGTAGAGGAAGTAGCCTGATTTTACTTGCTGACACATTTGCTCATTAGTATTGTGTGGGGAGAACCTGTTACTTGTGTTTTAGAAAACCAATTTCTAAGAATTGTTATGAAACCACTTAAACATCCTGTAAGTCTCATTCATATATTTTATTGTTTGGTATTGAGTCCAATTCTGGACAAACTCCATTCACCTGTCCTTCATCTTGCTGAAATTATAAATAATTTGGTCAACAATTTATTTTCTTTAGTATCATTGTTCTGATTAACTGTAGCAGATCTTACTTTTTGTTGTATCATTAGATAACAAAAATGGGAACTGAGTGACAGACACTGGCGGGACAGGACTGTAAGTAGTCCCCATCAAAGTTTTACATATTTATGCACTGTTACCCAGTCCATTTCTCTGGACATGGGAGACTATCATCAATTACATATGGATCTAGCCCTGCATCATAAGGGCATATTTCTTGAGTGTTCTCAGATAGTACAGCATAATGGCAACCAGTTACTTTTTTATGGAGGCATGTGAAGGAGAGTGGAATTCTGGAAGGGGAGCAGGAATGGGAGTTGCTGGTGAGAAGCATGGTAATAGGAGTGGAGATATGTCTGCTCCCTCTCCGACAGCTCCTTCTCTGCTACCAAGCTAGGAGTGCTACTCTATATGGTGACTATGCCCTCTTGAAAATTGCTGCCTTGAAGGACCAGCCTTCTACAAATGGACACCAGCTAGCTCTCAAGGTATGATGCTGTAGTATACAATGATAGCAACTTCGTTAGACTTGGTTGGAATGGTGGATTGTCCATTGATTGAAGGTCCTGGAGTGGAACATGGAGAGAATGATTGAGGAGAGACCAACTGAAAGAGATGACAAGGCATATGGACTTCTTGTTTTCCCTCTTGAAGATGAAGAGGATCAGAGTGCCTCCACTCTAGAGGAAAGGACCTACAAGGTCAAGGTACCCCTTGATGCCATGATTCACTCTCTCACATCCCTTCAAATCTTCAACCCCAATTTACAGTCTCTCCTTAGGTAAGAAAAAAATTAGCTGTGAGCCATTATGCTTTTTTCTGAACTGGTCATAATCCATGTTGATCATTTCAGGGAAGGAACTCTGTCAGAATCTCAGAAGATATCCCTGATGAGAGCACTTCAATTAGTTTTTGGGGTTGGGCTGGCCCTTCAGGATCGACCTGGGCTTAAGTTCCTCATTCAGAAGGTAGAAGGTCTGCAATTCCCTGCCTCCTTGTTCCCCTGCATGCACGCAGTCTGGCCAGGAATGGTGGAATATTATATTTCCCATCAAATGGGAGAGGACATGATGCATTTGATGGATGCAGTCTTGGGGAGACTGGACTTATTAGAGAAAGGAGAAGGGAGGAGTGGCAGTGATAGAGATGCCCAGGTTCGCTTGAACCCCTTCCTTGCTGACAAACTTCGACATGAGATCCTTGCACCTGACATTGAAGAAGAACGTGATGCCTCTCTTCTCAAGGTCAGTTGTTAATGATTTTTCATATATATTCAATATCTCATGCAAACTTTTTTTAAATTTATTTTTGAGCAGTTGAAGTCAGGATTGCTACATCCAAGACAATATCCTGGACTTTTTTTTACTACCTTTACTACCTTTCTTCAACTCATTAAGACCGGTAATAATTCTAGATCTGCCAAATCTGAAACATTCGCATTAGGAAGGAAATCATAGGCAACCTCATCACAAGGAGTGGATGAGTCAAACAATAAATTTTCCTTGATGAGTGAGCAAACATCAAATTCACTGGGGTAAAGATGTAAGGTATTGGGATGAAGATATCAAGGTTTTGTCTTAACTTCAGATTAAACTTGCATGTATTTCATTATTTGTCTTTAGGAGCGGCAAGTCGAAATTGCATTCTGGAAAGAGCTGCTGAGAGATGTTGTTAAGTGTCTCAAATCTGATTCTCAGAGCCAGAAGAATGAAGAACTTCTCAACACTCTCTTGTCTCAGTTTCATCGAACAAAATTGCTCTCAGATCTGCAATGATATTTGCAATTGACAACTCTGCCTTGTCACAGTGACAAGGAATGGGGTTGTTTCAGAGGAGATGGAAAATATTGGATTGGTGGTCTATCATTTTTTGATTGCATATCTATATAATCTGAGTCTGTTATTTTTTTTAGATTTTATTTTCAATTGTGGTATGAAGAATAATGTCATATTTATATCAAGATGTGAATTTTTGTCCAAGCATCATTGTATTTATTTTGGACTCAGGGGCAATGGAGACTATCGTACCTGTGTGCATTCATAAGTGTGAAAGAATATGACTGTGAAGAAAATCACTGGTTTTCCAGTCTTGTGAATCTCCTGCAATATTTTTTTCTGTCATCTTTACCTTTAATGAAGTCAGAACATATGAGAAAAGTTTTAAATTCATGTATTTGCTTGAAGGTGAACCTATGAAGTGAAAGTTTCCTAATAGGTCACTTTGAGTGGAGTATTTATAGTCTCATTTTATCAGTGTATTCATTTAAGCAACTGATTTTTGTGCTATGCAGGACTACTTTAAGCAAGGCTGCATTAAGAACAAGTGTTGTCCAATCATTTTGATGACAGAAAAAAGCATTGAAAAAAGCAAAAGACAGTGTGGAGCAAATAAGACAGTCTTACATTACTTGAGCTTGAACAAAGTTGAGAAAAACATTCAATTTGATGTATTTGAGAATGAGTTGGTGAGTGAATCCTGGACTCTCCATGTGTTATTGTCAAGAGTAGGGTTTAGAATTTTATGTTCTAGCATTTTCATCAATTATTGAGGCTAGGGAACAAAGCAGCAAAAATATCAGGGTGGAGATTCCTATATTTAGCTATTAGGAGAAATCAAAATTTTAACCCATTTGTGCATGATGTTCACTGTTGTGGAAGACAATGATGTTGGTTATGATGATGGCTTTTCAGCCATGGTACACATACCTTGAAACTTTTGGTGCATGCAGTCCACTCCTGGGCTCATCATCTATTCAGTGTTGCCTTCTAGCAGTGGAACATCCTACTACTGTGGGAAAATGTACTCCCTTAAACGTAAAAGAAAAAGCTTATTTATATTTTGCTTTAAAAATTCATGCACAAAAGGGTTAATTCTGTAGCTTCCTTTCATATGCCTCAGAAGTTGGTGATCTTGTTAGGACATGACAATCCAATCCCTCTCCATGAGTTTGAAAAATGTATGTTTTTGAACTACTAGAAATCATTGTGACTATGCTGTGAGATTTCCTTTATTTATTTTTTTCTGTTCTACGTTCAGGAAAGTTCTGGAATAAAAAAAATCCCAGTGGCATTCTCCAGGGATGTAATTTGGTGCTGGAGTGCATGATGTTTCTTGACTAAGTCGAGATATGCTAGATATTGACGGAATTAGTCGGCATGGATCGAACACGGAAAGGAGGAGGCAGCCCCCCCTGGCGCCCCCTTTTCTCTCACCACTTTACTGAAGAGGCAGGGCAGCAGAGCAGGGGCGCTATACCCCTTTCGAACGATATCAGGGGAGAAAAGGGGGCGCCCGGGGGGGCTGCCCCCTCCTCCCCTTAAAATACGCCACTGCTCACATCCCAGTTCATATCTCAGGGAAGCATCGTCATCAAGAAGTGAAGACAAATCCCCCGTGTCAGATAGGTCCTCCAATACTTGCTCCGAAATGATAATTCACGAATTTCCAGGATATTGGCCCCCGATGCTAGCAATCTCATACGATAGATCATGAAACACCCTGTACTTCATGCAATGACGAAGAAATTCATAAGCTTTCTTCGACGAGGATCTCAATACTACCGTATTCACGATTTCACTTTTCCCCACTTTGGACATCTTGACGTATAAATGTCTGTCCATCACCCAATGCACCTTTGAGCTCGTGGAAATATCCTTTTCCTTCAACTCGTCCATATTATCCAGACGTTGCTGCATTTCCTTGTATTCTTGAACCATCTGCGAGATTTTCTTGCTCTGGCAAGAATCCTATTTCCCCCCTCGAGCAAGTGAATTTTCTTTTCAGATTTTTCATCTCTTCCTTGTGGTTTTCAAGGCCAGATCCAAGAGAATGTCCTACCGAATAATTTATTGCATCCTCTGTTGAGAGAAATTTAGGTGGTACCCGACAAGAGCATTCATCCAAAAAATCACTTGTGATTTCGCGTTGTTTCGCACTGGGCTCCTCTTTCCTCTGCTTTCCATTCAGGTTGGGGCAACAAACATTGAAGCTTGAGGCAATGCGCTGCAGTCTCACGCAAAGAACACTTACTATTGGTTCCCAGCAATTCAAGCCTAAAGTCTCTGATGAAGTTTTCCTCATTGAAATGTTCAGTGCATATTCGTGTATCCTCTGAATTTAATGAAGGATCTGCGCATTTACACCGGATCGCCCAGGTCTTTCGTAAACCAGGATCCTTTGGGAAACAACGAAACGAAATTTTCTCGTTGCTGGCTCCGAAGTCATCATATGTGATTTTGCAAGCGGCGACTGCAGGTGCGATCGGCAAATGCTAAGAACTTGTCAGCGTCACCATCAAAAGTTGCATTCATGCGAGCGCAACAGAATGGAGGCACACAAGAGCAAGGTAATGCGGCAAGAAAAGAACCGACCGATGTGACATTTTAGAGACAAAATAGATGAAAGGGGATTTCATCCCTCGACCAAGGAAGTGTATCTCAGCGGCGTGATTGCTCTTCGAGCCCCACCCCCGTCTGGAATGTTGCCCGATCTTATCTACTCTTCTAACTCGGCTTTTATCGGAATCTCGTGCACCTTTCCACTCGCTTGCCTGATTCGTCAGCGTGCAAAGACGAAATCCGTCAGTGTGCACACAGACGAATTTCTCGGATGTCTGATCTGCAGACGAGGACGTCCTTGGACTCCCTCGCTGTGGACAGCATGCAGTCTCTGTCACTGTATGTTCTCCGCCTCTCACTCCTTCCTGCATAGGTAAACGCGAGTCGAGATGATCGCTTTCGTGAGTTGGTGCATCGGCGTTTGCGCTGTTTTTTTTTATATACAAAAATGATTTCATAATTACAGAGGGTTGTTTGGTTCCTATGGTAACAGTTTTCACATCGCATTGCGCCCATCCTGGCGACAAGTTTTTTTTTGCCTAGGGGTTTACAGTCTGGATCTGAGACTGAGAGTGGTACTGACGCGAACTTCGCAAGAAAACAGCACAAGATAGGAACCATGGTGAAAAATAAACAACAGAAGCTCTCGATTCCTCGAAAGATGTAAATTTACGTTGCTGTTTTCTACATCATTCCACGCTTGAGTACCATCAACGATCAGCATGGAGACCATGTTGAACGGTCAATGTATACAATATATAGCAACTTGTATGCGGGTTTCCGTACCGATCATCGATCAGTGTGAGGATCGCACTAAGCAATGTAGTGGCGTTTTAGTGCTTAGCTTATTAAATTATTATTCCAAGATGTTCCTCATTGTTTGTTGAGCCTCTCTGGTGAACGAGTCTCTACCTGCCTTGATTTGTGAGCTGCATTGTTACGATTAACCGATACGAAACATACGACCACCTCGTATTTATTGCCCTCCCCTGCGACTCCACCTTTGGTCACACGATAAGTTACTAGGCGCAGTTAGCTAAAGCTTATTTTCTCCTGTCCTAAAGCTCTTTTCGGGTTGTTTATAAAGAAGAGCTTCGGATACCAGCAGTTATCCATTTTTAAGTCCGTCCGAGGAGCGTCATTAACGTAAGTACTTTTTCTATGCTATTTTATTTCATCGTTTCATTTCGTTTTACTGCTCGTAACGTTGCCTCATTTTTCGACGAGGAGCAACGGTTCAAGCGGCTACGTTCTTGTTCCCTTTGGGTCATGCCCCATTCTCGAAAGCATCCCATCCTGCCTGGGATGGAATGCTTTCAAGGATGGCTTAGGATGGCTTCCGAAGCGAATCTCGTCCTGGATATCTGGCACGCGCGGTTCATGTCAGGTTCAAGTTCGCAGATATGAATTTCCCTGTCGTGGTTATCGAGTGGGAGTCATAAACTGGTGAGCTTGACCTGTCGTATCATGATATGTTTGTTATTAAGCCTGATCGGTACATCTGGACTCCGTTCATCACCGTTAAGTGTCATGCCTTCTAGGGGCCAGTTTCTCGAAGCTTCTAAATCTTTTCTTTTTCTTAAAACGTGCTAAAACACGGCTATTTCTAATCTTCTTATTTCCTTCTTAAAAGCGGTTTCTCGAAAGTTCTAAACTTTTTCTATGCTAAATCTTTCTTGCGTTTAAGAAAAGTTTTAGCATGGAAAAAGACAACGAAAGGGTCCGTTTAAGAGTTAGAAATGATTTTAAAAAGATTTAGAAGCTTCGAGAAACCGGCCCAATGATTTTGTTTCGTTTTCTGGAACGGTTCTACAAGTAAGTCGGCAGCCTTGTGGAAATAGGTGTTTAGAGCGCGATGAGGGCGAATGATAAGGGCTCTCTCTTTACCTTCGGCCTCTCCGTTTTAGCGGAAGAAACGAAAAATGTTGAGCTTTTCGGGGAGGGGGGATCAACTCTACCTTTTTTTCACATCGTTGTCCAAGTGGGCGTTTTCCTGTCCCTGACCCAGAATTCTTCATTTGCGGCCTTCTCCCCAAGACCAGGAAGATCTATGATGCCTTTTTTTCTTCTCTCAAGACTATCGCTGAAACGGATGCATATTGGTTGACACGGATGGATGTCATACCGTGCTTGAGCAGACACCTGTGGAATCACTTCGGGAGGAGCGGAACTCGCACGACTAACTCTGTTGAAGCATGATATACAGAAAGTAAGCGAATTCACCAGAAGCCTTTTCATCAATCAATGCAACTCTCTGCACAGATCTCTCCTTCTTCCAGGTGAATCTTGTGATAACGAAGTCACATCCAAATATATGCGAAATTCTTGCCTGCATGAAGAAGGAGCAAGCAGTCAACGAAATCGGAATGGCTCATGCATGCGTTGTAACCTTCCACATCAGAAAGAAAATCACGCAAAGGTCGCATCGGAGAAGCTCATCACAAATTGGACAAGCTCATCAAACGGGGTATTTCAGTTTTCTCGGTGATATATCATTCACAAAATTGTTATTTTATGAACTATCTCAATAAAAAAGAAGTCCTTTTTTTTGTTGCTAATGATGTGTCAGTGAAGAAAAGTAAGCAAACGCTTCGATAAACCTTGAAAGTACCAATGTGGAACATATTCCGCGCCAAACAAGGCATCGTGTAACATGGTCCATTGCGTTCGTGCTTGGGTTATAACCCAAACAAATGATATCGTGCTCTAGAGAGATGCTTCTATGTCCTTGCGCAATCAGTTCTTTTATGAGACCCATGTTTTTTTATTTTATTATTTCTCTATAAAAATTTTTGACCCCTTTTGTTCTTGTTTCTTCGAATGCTAACAGTTGGCCTTACTTGTTGCTTATAAGCTCTGAATTTGTTTTGCTAATGACACATCTTGATACTTAGTTCTACATTGTTAGATCTCCATGTGAAGGTCAAGGTAGGAGTGCAGATAACCCCCTCTGTATTCGTCTTAGTTGTGTAGAGTGTGTCGGCGGAGATGGCAGTGCAACGTCATATCATGGAAATGTTGACAATTTTTATCAGAGGATGGATTTACGATTTTTATTCAAACAATTATTTTTTTCTGAAATTATGGGAATTGGTCACGTAATAAAATAGGCATTTCTTTAAGAACACAGTTTTTGTTTTAACATGTATTGAAAATTGTTAAAGAAAATACTTTTTTTGACGATATGCACAATTGGTGTTCAAAAGGTCATTTAAATTCGGGCCTTGAAGGGAGCAGAGGCTAGGTACTGTAAAGGTTAGACCTTTGTAGTTATCAGAATATAATTGAAATTGGTCGGCATATACTGGAGGTTATTTCCAGGCTTTTGCCAAGAATGCCGAGACTGAATAAAAATAAAAACTTATTGTGCTGAAATGTACCTTCCAGATCTCGTATGGGGAAGGGGAGTAGTTGTAGAGCAGTCAGAATAAAACGTATCGGTAATGGAATTAGGAGTTCGAATACGACAAAAATAAATTGGCAGGAATGGAAGAGAGAAGGAAATGGGTAGTCGGCATTCTCGAAGACTTCTGAGGCAAGTTCCACAATTTGGCGGTCGTGGAGGCGGCATTCCAAGTACTAAGCCGGATGTGGATGAAATCACAACGATGTCACCCTCATCGTGAATATTGAATCTCTCCAGTAAAATGAAGCTTCATCTCCCTGGGGTTGGGGAAATCAGGAAATCTCTTTTTTTTTTATCTCCCCCCTGGAGTATTTTCGGAGGAGGTAGCCCCACAAAAGAAAGATAGAGACTTCTAGAGCGATATACGTGTCCTTTTATATTGCTAGCAATGCACCATTTCGCTGTGAAAAAAATGAATTGCGTATTAGTAACATCCCCAATGGTTGCCGGATATTGTTATGGAATCATGTAGGAATTCCTGACTGCTTCTGCTTTTGTATCGGTGCCTGGAACTTCTGTTTTTAATGTGTGATACAAATTTGTACGTAGTTCATGGGATGAGGGGAGAATGAAACTGTGATCGATCAATGTGGTGGCACATGGACGTATTGTGCACAGACATCTCTGAATTAACATGATGGCGTCCATCATGCGTTTGAATTTCGGAGGCAGTCTCTCTACAAATATCCAAGATATGGTTTGAGAAACCCCAAGATTGAGCCTTATAGGCCTTGTTGGCTCCGTGAGTCGAGGGTTGAGATTCTCATGAGCAGAAAGTGTTGGCCTAGGCCTGACCTGAATTCATTTCGTGGGTTAGGCCAAGGTCTAACGTTATAGTGAGTCAAAGGAGGGGGAGGAATGGTTGGACTTTTGAAGAATGGTTTATACACTTTTTCATGAGTTCTATCAGTCACCTAAGTGGGCAGTTTTCAATCCACCGGATAAGTACAATCAATGTTTTTTTTTTTTTCCATAGAGTGGTTTTGGTTTGTTCGCAATATTTAAATTGTCATTCATATTGTGCTATTGTAGTTGAATGATATTGGTACAGATAAACTGTAACATAAATATGTGGGATTGGACAGTAATATCTGTCATACCCCCTGGAGAAATTAAGCCTGCCCTTGGTATTTTCCTTACTGCCTTTGGTCTTAATCTTTCAGGTCCAAACTACACAAATTTGGCAGTATAAGCCTTCTTGAATAATTTAAAAAAATTATTTGCTTAAATTCACCAATTCAAGGAATGGGGGACTCTGCTAGGCTCTGGCTGGTTATGACTTGAGTCCTCTGGGCTTAAATTTGAACTTGTACTGCAAATGCTAACTTTGAACTTTGGACTCTACCATGTTCATCACCTGCATGATTCATTTTCACATAATTAACTCATTGCTTTCAAGGTTGGCTGGGATTTTAGAGTGAAGGTACTTTAAAGAGGCTTGAGCTTGCATATTGCATATTGTGCATATGGAGGGTTGCATATTGTGTGAGGTCCTTTTATATCCCTTCTACCTGCTTGTTCATCGCTAAGGTTAGTAGCCCAACCTGCAGTGTTGAATGGTGTTGTTTAGATCCCTGTTTTCTTATAGTTTTTTTTTATTACTGTGATTTTACTTTCAATTCATATCACCCAGCATTGCACATGAAGATTTTCTTGACTTTCATAAGTTACAACAATTGAGCTTTCTTTAATCCCTGTTAGCCTTTAACTCACAAATGGAATTCACACAATCTCTAGTGTTCTTTGGTTCATGACTGGGATCTCCTCAGTCCCAAGAATACTGTACATCTAATTCTCTATCATCATGTACATGTTATTTGGACAATTATAATGAAAGATGTAGGCCTTTTTTCATCAGATAAATGAAATGTACTTAAAAGAATGCCAATAAAACCCACTAGGCAGGGTTCACTTATAGCATTTAAATCCACCTTTTAAAGGTTAATGCTGTTTCAAATTGGAACACTAGGCCTTTGGCTGTAACTTAATATTGTGGCGCTTGAAGACAAAAGGTATTGTTAAAAGAGTTCCATAAGAGTCAGGTTCCAAAACAGGTAGGTGTGTGAGGGGCTATCTGGAATTTAAGGAGACCCTCTTTTCCAATAGAGATAACTGCATCTAGGGTAACCTTAAATAGATTGAGTTGCTAATCTAATTTTTGAGCCTACATAGCTAGACATACTAAGGTTTCTGATGATTCCAGGGGAAAGATGACCAAAACTATGATTAAGACTGGATTCACCTGGACTCCAGAGCTTGAGATAAAGCTCTACTATGCAATGGAAGACTTGAAGCCAGCAGGAGTGAATAAGCATTTCCACATGATGGTGATCCTGAAGAAATTAAATGAAGAAATGAATGTGAATGTCAACTCTAGTGATGTGTGGAAGCATTTGGAGTCATTGTATGATCTCTCTGCCATTGATGGAATTGAAAACTCAGCTCGCCCATTTTTAGAGTCCAGGGAATTCATTTTGCCAGATGAAGAGTACAAGGATTTGATCAAGGAAAGGACATTGATGAAGGTGAAGACTGAAGCACCTGATAATGATAAAAGTTGTGACAGTAAGACACCTCCAGTGTCAAAAAAGAAAAGGAAGGGATTGGATAGAGGAGATGACAGCAGTGAAACTGACTCGGTGAAAAGTGGCACTCGAAATAAGGGCTCTACCAGACACAGGGGAAGTGATACTAGTAGTCCTTCCATCACCCCTTTAAAAAGGAAGAGACGGTGAATTCCATCTTAATGGACACTTTTGCTTGATACTTGGAATACTCTTGATCAATGGCTGTCATTCTGAATAAATGTTGGCTGTTATTCGTTCTCATAAAATGTTTTTACTCATCCTTATTATCTCAGTTGTAACATACTTATTCATGAAAAAATAGGAACATTATCAATGGAACTTCTTAGGTTTAGATTTAGGTGGCTGCAAAAATGTATTTTGGAAATGTTTTCTAAAAAGAAGGGAATAGTTTTCATTGGTCAACATGTGTAAAAGAAATAGGTGGACAGCTTTGCTTCTCATGATGAGTTTGACAAAAAATTCACCTTAGTATTGAAAGCACTGTCATGATACAGGAATTGCCAGAGATGTTCCTTCTCAGTGGTTATATTCTCTTATCTACTCTGTATCAAACAATGGGAGATATTTATTCTCAAAATCTTCATTTCAGTTCTTCACAAACTCCCATTTAAAAAAAATAAGACCATGGAAGTATAATTTAAGGCTGTTACTGTGGTATTTTTGAAAGCATTGATGTAACAACCAGAACCATTGATTTTACTATGATGCATAAGCAAAATATATAATAATTTATAAACTGAAGGGCTGAAAGGGTAAGTGATCTATCAGCAAAAAATTTCAGAAAAAAGTGTAGTTGGTTTTTGCTCATAGTACCTTGATCCTTTCATAGAAAATCATAGATCAGTTCGTCTTTTACATAGTTACCAAAAAAGCACAATCACCACATACCACTTCCTTACTTTTAACTTGACAGTCACTGGAATTTTCATTCTTTCCATGTGGAGGTTGAGGAAATAATTCTTTTCTGGTAGATCACTTTTCCTTTCAGCTCTTCAACTATGAGTAAAGAGGAGAAATAGAAGAATGGAAGAGTGTTTTTGAATATGTCATAAGCCTAGTGTAGAGCCCCAATGATTCACTGTCTGTGGAAGACCATGTTAGAGTTTCTTATAGAGATGGCAGGAGGCCAGAAGCTAAGGGAGGAAAAACAGGTTGCTTGGGAGTGGCTTCCATTTCTTGTTGCCAGTGCCCTTCCCTCTCTATTATTTTCTCTCTCTCTTTCTCTCTCTCTCTCTCTTGCCCTCACTATGTGGGCTCTGTTGTCATATAATCATTTTTTCATTATTTCCCCAGCTGCAAAAATTTTTTAACCCTTCATACATTGGCCTTGCACACTAACGTACCCTTGAAAGCCTTGGAACCTTTTTTTTTTTTTAAGCCATCATTTTAGACTGTAGAAGTAATCACCAATGTATTCCATACCTTTGAAATATTTCACTAGCCTTAATCCAGTGGACATAATACAACCTCGAGTGCAGTTTCCCTCTTAAAGCTTCCATTTAGAATTGTAAAATACTGTTTTTATCAGCTATCAGTCTTTGTTCCCTTTGGTGATAATGAATTCCTTATTGGTAAGGACCTGGGATAGTACATCAGTCATAGATCAGTTTTCATCCATCTCTAATTTCATTGACATTTTCCTGAGTGTTTCATTAACACCCAGGGACATTATGTCCCCATGAGGAAGAACCTTACATTTCAAACATGGTTTCATGATCTGGGCATTTGCTTTTTTTATGCATGATTTGTTGTTTCCATTTTCTGTGAAGGAATTTTTTTTATCATTTCCCTTGGCAGTTGTGTGCATAAAAGCATCTGAGAATAATGGGACGTAAGAAGAAGGGAGGAGCCAGAGGAGGTGAGTTGTTCAACTCACATCTTCAGCCTATTAACCCTTTCATGCATGGTGTCCACTGTAGTGGACAACAAAATACCTCAAACTCATACACACATACCTCAAAACTTTTGGTGTGTGCAGTCAGCTCAAGGGCGCATAATCTAGTTGAGTACATCCTTAAACATTAAACCAAAAAAGGCATATTTTTGTTATGCTTGAAAAATGCATGCACAAGAGGGTTAAAGGCAAACATGTTGTGCCTCATGTTCTTCATGAAGGGCATTTTTTGTAGAATTTTTAGGTGTTAAGTTTTACTTTTGTGCAAATGCTTGGAATAAATGGAAGTTAGCTGTGGAGTGGTTGTTTCTGTGAATTCATAAAATTGCATGTTAATTTATATGTCCAATAAACAGGACAAAACCCTGGGGATAGCAGTGGTGCAGAAGCACAAGCAACTCAGGCTTGTCATGATGGTGGAGACCTTGGTCCTGGTGGACACAACATGCACGAAGGTGGCAGTATTTCTCTCCAAAATGCTCCTTTTTATTCTTAAAAAATATTTATTTTTATGGATTATCCTACTCCAAAAAATTATTGGGTTGCAGCTGTAATCCATCTTCCATCCCTACGATGGAAGCAAATAGGTAAAGGAGGAAACACTGGAAGAGTTCCAACTTTGTATTCTTTTTCCATTTTTTCATACTTATGTACAGAAATTCCCTTTTATATGCTTTCGTGGGCCTGCTTACCTCCATTCTTACGGCTACATTATGGGACTTGAATCTTATCATTTGCCAAGTGCTTTGATTCGTTTTGGGCATTTGAACAAGTACGTTGTGGGGGTTTTTTCTAAAAAAAAAGTGTTGGAAACTTGGTTTCCATGTTTGTTTAACCTTTTATGGGATGATCCCCTCAGTATTTTGTATGCTTTCTTTCCACCCTCTTTTTCAACTGCCTAAAAGCAATTAGAGTAGGGTTTCAAGAGGGCTAGAAACATCTTATTGATATTCTTGAGTTCTCTCAGATCATGCCATTAGTGCTACAACAGGAAGGAAAACGTGTTGCCCTTTACCAGCCTTTCTTAAACACATTCTTTCGTTATAGACCTAATGGTTTCAGCCAAATTCAGATCTGTGGAGTACCGCGCCACTCTGTTTAACCCTTTCCCTGGCAACGTCCAGTTTTCTGGACGAAGCAGAAACTCTTGTTCTAAAGGCTATTGTCATCTACTGGATGAAGCTAGAACTATGAGAACTTGGTGACATGTCGATGAAGAACTAGTCTTCTTATAGAAGTTGATTGAATAACCGTATTTCGTTGGTTTCGACGGGAAAATTGATTGCAATTTTTTATGTCATATCGGTGATTATGGCGTCCACATCAAAAGGAAAGGCTCTGAAGAAATGAAACGATACAAAACTGAACTATTAAAAACATGGAAAGATACTTTACATATGGCAAATATTGTTCTGAAGTTAGTGTTTGATATCTCCTTTCCAATATATGCGAATTTCATCTTGAAAGCTTACCTCAGTTGCTCACAATAAAATAAAAAGTAAACCTATGCGTTTGCACGCAAAGATGGCATAACAGCCTGCCAGACTAGGACTGGATCTCAGCGACCAGAGTGGCAGGGAAAGGGTTGAAAAGATGTTGGTCCTGCTGCCGTAGAGAGGCTCTTGAGTTGGAGGTGCTTAAAAGCAAAACGCATTGGGACAAGTGAAAGACAACTCCCTGTTCATATATTAACCCATACAGTGCCAGAGTCGCTTACAGCGACGCTACAAATATCGCTTCAAGATGCCAGAGTCGAAGAGCTGGCACTAAAATGTCCAAATTTCGAGAACAGATCAGAGAAGGAACACGATCGAACGCTCGGACTAGAAACATTTCTTAATTCTTTAATCGTCAGCTCTTCGACACTGGCCTTTTTCAATGAAATTCGTAGCGTCGCTCTAATCGGCTCTGGCACTATAAGGGTTAAGTCAGGCCTTGTCTAAGCATTGGAAAACATTACAAATACTTTTGATCACCTTGATCACTTCTCCTTGGCAGTAAATTAAAATAAACACCGTGGTTCTGCGAATGTTATTTTGCCCACGATGTAGGAGTCAAAAGCTGAAAAGTTGCATTTTGATAAATTATTTAAGAAGGTATCTTACATGCAGTTTTGACCTGATCGGATTGCAGATCTGAACCATCCCCAATATACATACTCATGCGGGAAAAATTTGCAAGCGAAATAATTTCGTGATTCTTTGTGCACATTGCATCTAGCCGAAAAGAGAGGGGGCGGGGGGTTGAGAACAAGAATTGAAGGGTGGATTGCACGAAACTAATGCCAGCATTAGCCTAAAGCTGTATTAGCTAAAGGAGCTTTAAAGTGAGGCATTGCACAAATAAATTTAAAGTTACATTAGCTAACTGTCTTTAGCGCTTCCAAATGTGCATTAGCGACTCCGATGACGTATATCAGGGACCCGCAATAATGTCGTCCGCTTCGGCAACGCTCGAAAATTGATTTTTTTTTCTTCTAATCAATGCCCACAAAAGTACGAGGGGGTGTCAAAAAGTAACAGGACATTGCGATCGTAACGTAGGATATATAAATAGCAAGGCCACAAGTAGCAACGCACACAGTACTGCTTGTTAGAATATCAGCCCCATGAAAACGGTGGTCTTTGGCTTTGCTGTCGTCTCGTGTGTACAGTCACGTTAGTCTCGTGTGTACAGTTACGAAAATGGCGACTACGGGTCAGGAAGGAAGAGTTGCGTTTTGTGATCCTTTTTTTTTTAAATATTGAATATGGCGCGAATGGCAATTTTATTTTTTGCTGACTCAGGCAGTTTACGAAAACTGTATCGAAAGAAGCAACATTTACGAGTTGATGCGAAAGTTCCAAAGTGGAACGGCGAGTGTTGCAGACGCGGCGCGTTCGGGCCGGCAACACTAGTCGAACGATGCGACATGCAGTGGAGGTGTTGATATCGAGTGTATCGGAGATCACGACCTGAAAGGACCCGCGCCCATAGAACCGAATAGCGCAGCAGATCTGCAGCAGTGGCGGTATCGCGTAGTTCTTCGTTCTGCGCTCTCCACGGTGTTTAGAAAGTCACTCCCTATTTTCAAATTGTGATAACATTTGTCATTTTCTGACTGAAAGTACAGTCCTCCGTCATGGTCTCGAGATGGTGATGAAAGGAGAATGCCTCGGATGCAACTTCCCATTTTCTCAGCCTCCACCCCTCATGCTGCGCAGCTACTTGCGCACGGTTTCGAAGATTCGGGGTGACATGCACCAATTCCTTTAACTTTGAATTTATTCGTTTTCATAATGGGCATCTATGGGAATAGGTTTATCTCGGTTAAACAGATTCCCATAAGGGACCATCGTGAGATCTGATTAGTTAACTTAAACGGATCCGGTAAATGTCGTCCTCAATGTTGGCACCATGGAGGATTACTGCAAAAACAAATAAATCTTTCAAATCATAAAATCTTACCGAATTTTCTTTTTTTTCTAGACCAAAAGCATTGTTCGAGTCCAAAAATGACAAACTTTATTACCTTGTACAATAAAAAAAAGGAATAACTTTCCAAAAACCCTGTAAATCGGGTTCAAATGTCGTCCACCGAAAGGAGGATGGATGCCCTGAGGTGTGAACTCCTGATTACATCCGCAATACCTCTTCAGGAGAGTACTGCTTCAAGTCGATCATGGAACACACGCTCCTGGGCGTGGGCGTCAAGTGCTTCAGTTGAGCTCGGGTGATCATCAACTCAATTCGCTGCTTATTCACTTTGCTTTCTTTACAGCCGCGGAAACATTCGGGAAAAAATAAATAAATATTAAAATCATCGTCCGTGGACATCCACGAAACAGTACTGAAGTGTGTCGAGCCAGTGGGATGTTCCTCTTCGGTGCTTATGGAGGTTTAAGGTAGGGTCATCGTAGCATTAAACTAATACTCAATTTACAGGTATTGCTGCGTTAGGCTAATTTCTTTTCGTGCAATCCACATTTAAAATCTTCGCTATAGTAGCTTTAACTCCGCTCCTAATAGAGGTTTAAAGCTGGCATTAGGCTAATGTCAGTTTCATGCAATCCACCCGAAGAATCCCGTCTGGAGATCAGAAAGTGTGAGACGGGATTTGGTGGGAAGGGAATGACAATGACTCACCACAGAATCCTTCACGATAAGGATATTACTGTATAGTGTTTGACGAAGGAGTCTGTGAGATGATTCTGTCTGTTTACATGATCTTTGTTTACATGTTTACATGCTCAACCCTTTAATACAAAGAGAAAATTCAAGGCAACAAAAGGGTATGGAGGCATCACACACGGGAAAATCCTTACCGCGAGTTTCTCGCAGCCCTGTGCAGGCGTCTACCAAAATGTTTTTCAACCTCTTTTTCTGATCATTTCCTCTCTTTCCCCATTATCTTCCGATTGCTTCTTTTTTTTATCATCTGGTCCTGTCTTTAATAACTAAACTTGGAATTTCTCTGCAATACGCTTATTAAGCCGAGGAGAGGCACCTACCACATCTTGTTCGGAAAGTATTGCTTCCTCATCCCACTTTTTGAGTTTATTCGCCATACTGGAAGATGAGGTGGTTGTTCACGAAAGTCCAACTACATTGGTATGCTATCCTCTCTACACATCATTTCGTATGGAACCAAAATATTTATTGGATGTAGTTCCATCCTCTGGCCTTTGATAATCCAGAATTAGAGTAGAGGGTGATGTAGGCAGACAGGAAACGTGGCTCACTCCTTGACTATACTGCAATCATTTCGTGATGATATTGTGAATGTGTATTAGGACTCTGCTTCTAAAATATCCAGTCTGCCACTGGATTCGTTGCTTTAGGGAGGGAAGGACGAGCCTGTAAAGTAGCCATTTCTTATGAAGCCATTTTCTTCTTGCTGTGTCACCGGAGAACAGTGCTTCCATTATGAGGCCATTTTTGAAGGGAGAAATGTTAACACGCACGAGTTAACTAAATATATGGACTTCTCAACGGAGGTTGAGACTATACTGCGCGTCAATCGCTTTCGTCACGTCATTCAGAAAGATTTGTACTAACTGAATGCCCAACATTCTCGCCGACGCACAGGATTTAGAATGGGTGGAAATTTGTTGCGAGAATGTCGTTCAAGTTTAAAATATAGATTCATGGCCGTTTGCTGGAATTATTACTGTTAATGAAGCTTAAGGCAAAAAAAAAAATTCATGTCTTGACGTAATTAACGACCGATCATTCGCCAAGATGGCAGATGATGGGCCAAGCTACTGATGGCATTTTCTTCCATTCTAACGGAGCTAATCATCAATGATCCAAATTCAAAGGGAGGGTCTATAATGGACAGTTCTAGCTTCAGTAGTATCTCGTTAAGTTTAGGAAAGCTGATATTGATCAGAAGTCAGCTCTATGCTCGTTTTAAAACCAGCTACTCGCAAAAAGGATGTGCACATTTTATGAAGAGAAGACTGGAAGTGACGAGATCGCTACGTGTCACTACTTTTTGAAGGAAGGGATCCATCAACAAACTATTAAAAGGATCTTGGCAAGATCTTAGGCTTCTGTTACCGTGACGAAGTCAGCATTTTGTGTCCTCTCCATGGACAAACCTTTGGTTGGGAAATAAATTTTTTTTTATTTTTTGTTTTTGGGTCAAATGCTAAGTCTATGCCAAATTTCAGCTAAATCGCTGATGGGCGACCAAGAAATCATGGGAAAATTGCTCTTCGCAACTTCCCTCGAACCACACAGTCGTGCGCCTTTTCGAGATCCACAAAGCATGTTTTCCATAGCATACTCCCTAGGTCTCGAGAATCAAGCGTACAGTGAAGAACTGGTGGGTGGTGCTGCGCCCTTCGCGAAAATCGGTACTGCTTGTCTTGAATTGATTCACCTACGATTGCTCAGGCTCTTTAACAGCATCTTCGCATAGACTTTACCAGTATGCTGAGGAGAGTGATATCACTGTAATTAACGCATTCCCTCGTGTTTTATTAATACTTTAAAAAGAAGTGGAACCACAACACTGGCAGACATTTTTTCACTTGACTTCGACATGCATGCATGAGGATCCTCCCCTGCATGAGTATCCGAGTCAAGTGAAAAATTGTCCAACTTAAATGAAAGACACTATACACCAGGGGTGCACAACATACTGCCCGCGAGGTCCTTGTTTGCGGCCCGCCATGACTAATGGCGTTGTAAGTGCTACTATGGCTCCTGCCCTGTTGGCTATAGCTATGGTCAGCCAGACTGCGGCCCGCAGTATGTGAGTAGAACTCGCAAGCGACCCTCACAGTCTTTTGAGTTGTGCACCTCTGCTATACACACTCTCAAATTGATTGCTCTCATTCTTTTGACTAGGTTTATGGTTGCTGCGAAGGCACTTATCTGATACTATGTTGGCTGCTTATTGCAAACGAACTTTATCTGAACCCCTTGGCTTGGCTATTTTCTTTATTTATTAACTTGACAGCGTCATCTTGTATATGTAATGGCGACTCAGATGGTTCTTAGGGGAGTCTTGGAACTACTTCAATTTATTGTACACCTATACGTGCTGACATCTGGCGTGAAATAAGTCAAAAGTTAGGAAAGAACTTTGCTTGTTAATGTCCATGCTACCCAGGGGTAGCATGAGCATTGACTAGCCTGGTTTAGAAAATTTCCTGGCTAAAACACTGGATTACTTTTCTCCTTGTAACAGGTTCTCGGGAAGGTGGAGGAGAGCAAATTCAAGGTGTCGGGCAAGGATTTCGAGGAAGGGGTAAGTGTTTTCTTTTTTTATGATATAAACAGTTATCCTCTCCCATTCCCACTCATTTCTTCACTTCAGTATCGTCGACTTGGACCTCTTGTGGGAACACAGGTTTTTAATGCACAGTCAAGATTCTTCTTTGGCCTTGGATAGCAATAAATCATACAACTTTTAATTATGAGTCGTTTGCAGTATCCTTTGTTCTTTTGATAGTTTGACCTCCAGATCAGTTGTCAATGGACATTCTCTGCTGTGTCAACTGTTTACCTCATTAGCAGATAATTGGAGACTTTTTAGTTTAGATCCAACTGCAGGAGGTCATGACAACTCCTATTTCAGCTTTTCATAAAGAAATAGGAGGTTCAGACAAACTTACCTAGCTGTACTGATGGCTGTGAATATATGATATATTCAGAATATTTAGTCATGGAAGTGGCGCAATCAAATTATTTTAATATTTCATCTATTATTTGAAGCCCATGCTGCTGGTACTTCCTGGCTATTCATGAAATAAAGCCCTAGGTAAACTTTTTGCTCATGGCAGGTTCTCAACTAGGACGAGAGCATTGGCATGATGGAGGACGAGGACGAGGATGGGGACGAGGTCGTGGTAGAGGTCAGTACCAATATCCTTTTAGTTGAAAGTTATACATTTATTCATCACTTTTTTTTTTTACTGAATTGGCTTATGGGAACTTTCTACAGAGGGTTGACAAAAGTTTTCGAAAATAATTTCTCTTTATATAAAACTCCAATTTTTCAAAATAAAACTGCCAAATGCGTTATAACAACTTTATTTCAATTGATAATTCCCTACTTTTCACACGACAGTAATTTACTATTATTTGGTTGGTCCACCCTCTGCCGCAATCACAACCTAAATGCGGCGGGGCATGCTTGTTGTCAACCAAATTCTTGATAGTTTTCTTAGGAACTGCTTTGACTCCTTGCTTTGACACACTCTTCAAGCTCAACAAGGTTGGCTGGGTGTTTCTTTCGTTTGCAAATGCTGCGCTTAATAATTGCCTACAGGTTTGTATTTATTTATCGGTTTGAAGTCTGGACTCGGTGCCGGCCACTCAAGAACTTGCATGCCCAAATCTGCAAGGAATGCTACCACGACTTTGGATTTGTGGGGGGGGCATTGTCATTCTGAAACCAACCATCTCCCTTCGGAAACATATGTTGAATGGTTTGGTACAAACCATTCAACATATGTGGTCAAGTGGTCCAGTTACTGAGGGATTGGTTGCTGCACCAACTGGGATTTCGGTGTAAAAAAATCATGCTTTCTAGGGGTATTGAGAAACTGATATATCCAAAAGTGCAGCAGTCCATATTCAACGGTCTTTGAGATACGCCCCTCTGAAGTTTTGGATGGTAGGGTAAAATGACCTCGTTAACAAATGCAACACCTCCTCAACTACTGAAGCTAAGAAACTGTGTAATAGCTCATTTTCAAGCAATCAGCTTGGCCAGCAAAAAGTGTCTCATGAGTTTTTCTGTAACTCAACTCTGGGAAAACGTTGCTTTTTCATGAAATTTCTAAATTTCTTTAATTTTCATCACAAAAAATTCCACAATGGGAATGCATGTAACGAGTCCAGCTTTGGAGTGTCTTTCATGCTCCATGAGGGTACTCGGAAGATACATTTATTTTGTGTTAATGTATTAAATAGTTTTAAAAAACCTGCAATGCATGCTTAAGCTCCGAAATTTTGCCATATGGTCAACTTTGACCTTCAAAAACTTTTATTTGATTCCAGATCCAGGTATGCTTCCTCCACAGAATGATAGATCATTCAAAGCTCTTTCGAGCCATATAGTGTCATCGTGTTTTTTCTGAAAAACTGAACGTTGAGAAAATTTTCAATTTGTCATCTCAGGCAGGATTCACTATCAAGCACTTTACCCCACCTGGATCATGTTTTTTTTTTGGGGGGGGGGGGGGGGGAAACACTTTAAAATTATTTTATGGATTGAACACGACTTGAGAAGCAACTACGTCCATTTTGAAGACATTACGCTATTTAAAATGTTATTTAATTTGGAATTATTACAAATACAGAGTTATCCTAAAATCACCACCCAATTTTGATTAGCTATAACTTCTCAAGGGACATTTAGATTCAGCTGATAAACGGCAGAGAGGTTTATGAGTCAAGGAGGTTTTTTTCTTGCTGCAAGATAAAGTGTTTTCATGCTCTTATCGGCATGCATATGATAGAGGGCACTGATATAGTCCGCAGCGCCACCTATTTACTTGGTATGTCATTTCTTAAGCATGAGAAAAAAACGTTTTGGAAAAAATCATGGATGTCATTTAAAAAGTGTTACATGCAATTTATTACATTTGGCATTCCAGTGAGATAGATTTATATAACATTCATTAGGTGCAAAACCATGAGGTTTACCATAATATTTACACACAAAATTTCACTCTAGGTGATGACCAAATGAGGGTCGGCCATGAAATCCATGGTCCCCAACCTGGTGCTTACCATGAACCTTTGACCCAACAGTCTGTGCCAGCCACACCAATTGAGAAGCAGCATTCCAGAGGACTCCAGCTGACCTCTCCCCATGGACCAGTCCTTCTGCCATCTTCAATCCTGTGTCAAGAACCTGCCCCAGCAGTCTCATTTGCATTTGAACAGCCAATTGGGCCACCACCAAGTTCTCTTTCTGCACTTTCATTCCAGGACCCCAAGGGTGCAGGACCAGGTTTACATGATACCATGCAACCACCCCAAAATCCCCTATCATTTGGATTACAGCCTCCAATGCCATTTTCAGTCCAGGGACTGAGCCAAGCAGCTTTGGTCCAAGACTTCCTATCAGGCACAGGATTTCCATCTCCACTGGACCACCAAACAACACCTGCAAGTTCATGTGTGGGCCCACAATTGCCAGTTTCATCTCCTAAGGGTCAACCAATGCTGACCCAAGAAGCACAATTGCTATCAAGTGCAGGCCATCCTGTGATGCAGCCTTCAAGTGGTCAGTCAACATCATTGCAGGCTTCATTACCACCATTTCCTGGAGTTCATATTCCTCAGGCCCCACCAAAAGAGATTCAACTATTACCAATGCCTCATTCTGAACCATGTGCTCAAGAACGGGCGGATAACCACAAGGAGCAGAAACCAGTTAGGAAGCAGCAGCAGCAGCCACCTGCCAAGAACATATCCGCAGTAAATGGTAAGGATTTGGAATTGCTGCCATCTCCCCATCATGTACTGAATTTAACCCCTTAACCATGGTGACCACATTTTGGCATTAAAGTTTCCACTATAGTACTATGCTCACTGCCTTTTGGCATCCCTGCATTTAGATTGCCTACAAAATTCTGAGTGGATGCTGAAAGGTGCATGAATACTCCACATACTTTGAAATATTCTGCTAACAAGCATGTGTGGCAGAAAAAAAAAACTCCATGGTAGATAACAAAAACACTCTCCAGTATGCAGCAAAAAAGCTCCTTGGTTAAGGGACTTGAGTTAAGGGATGGGTTGACTGGGCATTCCACTTCATCAGTTGTCAGACTATGACAGTTGTTAAACTCAATGCTAGGTCATGTTAGGTGAGGGATGTAGGCTGGCAAGGGATGTAATGTGGATCAGAGGTCCAAAACAGCCAGATTCACCTGTGAATTAAGCATAGCAGAGAACTTGAAAAAAAAAAGTTCAATATCCCATCAATGGAACAATGGGTCTCTCATCCATGCATGATGCCCATAAAAGCATTCAACTTGCTAATTATTAAAGCCAGGCTTTTTGGCCTAACCTTACCCCTTTTCTTTGAAATAAGAAAGATTAAATGAAGACATTTTCATTTAAAATAAGTGAAAGTGAAAGAATAAGCAAGAGTTCCATACCTGGGACCTGTTCCTTGCCTCTGCTAAACTTAAATCTAAATCTAAATCTAAAAGCAGTCTAAAAGCAAAAAGTCTATTCTTTGCCCTGACCCTTTAGACTAAGATTTAGCGTAAGATTTAGATTTAGATTTAGATTTAGATTTAGATTTAGATTTAAGTTTAGCAGAGGCCAGGAATGGGCCCCTGCTATCTGAAGATGACCTTTAAAGTGATTTTTGGGAAAGGCTCCTGCCATCCAGCATTTTCTGCAATTGAGATTTAGTTTGCCTCTGAAAAATCTAAGATGCCACCAAAAATCTTTCTCTATTCACAAAAATATGTCTTCTTGAATGCATTCTGTAAACCAATTAAAAATGAGATGGGAAATAAAAAACTTAATCAATAAGGTAACTCAGGATTTTCATGTCACCAGCTAGAAGCAGTAGTCCCTACATGGAAAAATTGGGTAGATTTTCTTGGCTAGTTTCTCAAACCAGTGGAACCAAGTGTGTCCATAAGACAAATGTAACAACAAGGAGTAAAGCACCTTGCTAGGGAAATAAAATGAAGACAGTTGATATAAGTGTCCTTGTTCTTTGATACACTCATCTATATGGTCTGTAGCAGCAAGAAGGCACAAGGGGGAATTTTATTGGAAGGAAGACTAAATGGCATTCCTGGGCACTTGGCCATATCCTGTGGTGGCAGACATTCACCCCACCACTATATGCAAATGGTGTTTGTCATGATGTAATTTGAATTGTAGCTTAAAATAAGTACTTGGTATATTCAGACATTCCTTTTGCATGTGTTAATTCTGATTATCTATGAGGAACACTGACCCATTGCTTTGTTGATATCCTGCAGGAATTGAAGGAAAAGAGAAAAGAGAAGAATGAGAACTTGAAAGTTTCTTTCTAATTGTTCTTTCTCTCTTGCAGGTGATGGTGGAGCTACAGTGGCTGCAGCTAAACTGAGATTCCTTGAGATGACTCTCAGTGATGTGAGTTCAATTGGGCTTTTTCATTGTTGTCACAAGATGATGTTTAACAGAGGGGCAGAGCATACATCCGCCATGCTGGAGTACAGAGGAGCGGGGGTTTCGATTGATATGCTTGTGTTGCAGGTGTAGCCTCATCAATACAAGAAATTCACCATAGTTGAGCAGAATATCACTGTCGTTCATGCCAAATGTAGTCTGCCTGTACTCCAGCATGGCGCAGAGGCAGTGTCTCCTGATCTGTGACGTCATGTGAAAAAGCCCAATGTCTAGGCTTCTTTGTTCTTAGATTGAAGTACTCTAGTTTACTTTCATGGAAGACCAGTTTGGCATGACTTGTGGATGTCCCAACTCTTGTCATATATGTAGGTGCCACAGGATGCCCTGGAACTCAAGAGTAGGATACCTGCACACATTGAGAAAGGAAAAGAAGGACGACGCATCGCACTACGTACCACCCACTTTCCAATCAAGCTGGACCATGGTCTTAAAGTCATCTACCATTATGATGTGGACATCAGGCCTGATGGTAAAGAACCAAGGCCACGGGACAGAAGATTGTTCAGGTCGGTGGCATTTAATGTGGCAATGATCTTTGAAGGCTTTACTCTGACAGGTATTCAATAACTGTACTAGTAAGACCTTGTCAGGCATGTGCGACCTCAGAACCAGCATTGTGGATGTGATGTTTCCAGTGGTTCATGCACAATTGACTTTTTGCAGATGCTCTAACCTCTTAGGCTGAGATGTCTTTACTGTATGAGTATTTCAAGGGAGTTTGGGCTGATTTTGTTGATAATCTTCAAGCTTTGATTATTTGTTTCCTTATTCATACAGTATGTGGTGAAAAAATGGCTACACTCATGTCCAGAAGTGGAACTGGGCTGGAAAAATTTTTTCTTAAGTAGAGGTTGGGTGATTATTTATAAATAGTTCTGAGATTTTGAGATTTGTTTACATTTAGTCTCAATAGATTCCAAAAGAGAGGCCATTGTCAATTTATCTCACTCTGGGATGACCCCCACCAAGATTGCCAAGGCCCTGAACATCCACGGGGTCACTGTGTACAAGGTCCTCAACAAATTTAAGGCCATGGGCAGTGTCAAGAGGAAGCCTGGAAGTGGAAGGCCATGTTCAGCAAGGACTCCGGCGATGATCAGAGCCATAAAAGGAAAAATCCAGCATAACCCCATCCACTCCATGAGGAGGATGGCCAAGGAGATGAACGTGAGGGAGAGGACAGTCAGGAGGATTGTCAAAGAGGATTTGGGAGCCAAGTCAAGGGTGAGGGGTAAGAGACAGCTCCTAAATGAGACATCCAAGGCTAAGAGAGTAGCAAGAAGCTGGAAGCTCCTCCAGATCTTCAAAAGAGAAAACTAGTGATTTTCTTCATAGATGAGAAGCTCTTTTGCATCAACCATGCCCCCAACAGCTGCCATGACTGCTACATCAGCAACCAGAGGCCTGAGGATGTCCCTGAGCACATCAGGTTCACCTTCAAGACCAAGCATCTGGCCTCTGTGATGGTCTTTGGGCTTGTGGCCTCAGATGGTAAGAAAATGCCCCCAGTCTTCATTGAGCAGGGCCTCAAGGTCGACACTAAAGTGTACATTGACATCCTGGAAAAGTCTGTCAAGCCTTGGATCAAGTCCATCTACCCTCTGGACACCAACTATGTCTTCCAGCAGGACAGGGCCCCTGCCCACACTGCGAAGAAAACCCAGAAGTGGCTGGAGGTCAACTTGGTGTCCTGGGACAAGGATATGTGGCCCCCCAGCTCCCCAGATCTTAATCCCCTGGACTACAGCATGTGGACGTTTTTAGAGGAGGCTGCCTGCAACAAACCCCACTCATATGTGGCAGCCCTGAAGTCCTCCATCATGAAGGCCTGGTCCAACATGAAGGAGGACTACATCATCAAGATGTGCTCAGCCTTCAGAGGCCATTTGGAGGCTGTGATCAAGGCTGATGGTGCACATATTGAGTAAAATATATTGTCAGATGTTAAATCAACTATTTATAATTAAGTAAATTTTTTTTTTTTTTAATCTCTCCTAGTTTTAGTTCTTGATGAGGTAAATCTGGACATGAGTGTAGCCATTTTTTTGCTGCATACTGTAAAAACCCAGCCAAATATTCATGCATAGCAACATGATTGCTGGGCTGTACTTGAAAGGCAGCATTTTAAAATTCTGTTCTCCATTTTTTGATTGATTTTCTCATAATTGGCAAAGCATAGAAATGAAGCCTTGAAGATTCACATGAGGGATGTCAGCATGTGAGAGTCTAACCATATGACGGATATGCAATCTTAGGTTTAGAGTCCAAGAAGACTCCTGCCAATGTGATAGGCAATGTCACAATTTATGGAAGCAAAGAACTCCCCCTTGAGGATTGCTGAAGAGTTAAATTGCAGCTTCCTGTTAGCCATCCAGAACAGGCATTGAGCTCAGAAGTACAAGGAAGCAGATTGAAGTAAAAACCTTTGTAAAGCACAGATAAGACCAGCTATGAATAAGCAGCTTATAGGAGGAAGCTCAAGTGAATATAACTCCAGCAATAAATTTCATTCATCATTGATGAAAAATTGCACTCAGCACTTTTGCTTAGGCCTGCACCAAAGAGTTTGTTGCTCTTCCTAGAGATGTGATGAGGCAGGTGTTTGAAACCAGGCCAGAATTCCAAGGCCATTACCCTGCTTATGATGGCAACAAGAATTTCTTCATCAAAAAACGAATACAAGTTCCATCTGATGTTCTTGTAAGTGGATTGCTTCATGTCCTGCTTGTAAGACCTTTCCTCAGCCTTGTGGATACAACAGTAATTGGCATAATTACTTGCATTGGGTAATTTTAGTGAATATATTTTTTTTCAGTTACAATTTTTAGTTTGCTTATGTTGGAGACCAGCAAATATTTTTGGTGTGGATGGGTAAGTTGAATCGTTACAAGTCACTTTAACAAGCAATTGACAAACAAGTCAATCCAACTCATGTCCAAGCATGCAACTTGTCTTGAGCATTATATCAACCTTTGCACAACTTTTATGGGATCATTTTAACTTATACTCTGGGCTATTTTTATTGGTTACTGGCCTTCTTGTCATGGCCAAAATGGTTGTGGACAAAGCATTGCATGCACTTTTGGTTGTTGCACTATTTTGTCATAGGTAAAGATAGTTGCATGGATGAAAGGAGCAAAATCAAGGTAACAAAAGTGATAGAAAGGAATAGGTCACCTGTGTTCCTCATGGATATCCGCTGAGGAACAGAAGGGGATTATTCACTGTTGTTCTTGGCATTACTGGGCGCATTCAGTTGTGACTCGATCTAACTGGGCGAGTCATGACTCAGGGCATAGCCCACGTTAACATCTTCTGAATGCATTGGGTCATTTAACCAGCGAATTTTAGTTGCTTTTCTGTGTAGTAGCAACAATAGAGGGAGTTGAAATGAGAAAATTGTGAAGAGGTACAGAATGGTCTTCAAGATCATCTTCCATGGATGTCGCCATGTTTGGAGTGATGACCCGACGATAATGACTCGATCTCAGAGATCGGGTCATAGCACGTGACTCGAGTCAGGTTCCTGCGTCATCACCCGATGCATTCAGTGTTTCGTGTCGTGACTCGCGTTATAACTCGGGTCGGAACTGAATGCGCCCACTGTAAGCTGTTTTGCATTCATATGCCTGTATCTAGTCATGTTAATGACACTGGAATACTTCAAGACATCTAAAGGTAAAGAAAATATTCATTATGAATGGTATCTTTAGACTGCAATCATGTACCCAGCTCTGATTGTGTCCAAATGGAAAAGACAGTTGGGGAGCTGAAAGCTCATGTGGAAGGCCAGCATTTCTTACGATGGACCCATCTGCTAGAAAAAGGTGCCTCTAGGAGTTGTATCTCCAAAATTCAGAGTGAGGATGTGTCCCTGAGGTTGGACATTTTTTAAAATTAAGCATGTAGACTTGTCGATTGAATGGCACAAACTGTGCTTGCCCATTCTGCTTTAAAAACAATTCTGAAAATAAGACCCAAATGAAAAATGTCCATCTAAAGGATTTACCATAACAAAAGGATATTTTCAGAAATTAGTGACTGGAGAGAAACCTAGGTTCCAAATTCCAGGTTTCTATATCCACAGCACTCAGTTCAGCATAGCAAAACATATTAAAATCTATGACTCCCCCCAAAATTACCCCTAGAAGATATATCCCAGAAGTAGGATTTTCTCTTATGACTGCATACCAGCATGTACCTATTTATTGAGGTTTAACCCTTATGTCTCCATGATTCCCAGGAATGAAATAATTTTTTGGGGGGAAGGTCCACCCAAAATGTGCTTCCTGGCAACACATCCCAAAAGCAGTTCTTTTTTTTTTCCTGGAATCTGCTTCTCGATAAGTACTGATGCCCCAAGTTTCAGTTTTGGTCTCTCTGTTTTGTTAGCACAAAATAACTATGAAGATGTGCCACTCCAAAAAAAAACTACCTGAAATCTGCGCAATTGCAGCTTTTCTAGTACCAGGTTTGATCTTTCTATCTCATCCAGAACACAGAATGAAAGTCAGTCACTTGATCATAATCCTCCTATACTAGAATATTGAGAAAAGGTCCAATACTTTGAGAGCAGGATATCATTCCTTTGTATCACAATCATGTGTTTCATGCCTCATTGAGACTTTAAAAAGGGGTGTCTGAACTAAGGTGAAAGTGTCTGAACGTAACTTTTTCCACATTTAAGTTTAGACATCACGTAATAGGCAATATCAGAAGTCATAGTGTTAGGAAGGACAACACCTTTTATAGCACTTATACCTCCTCGTGTTGTGCTCCCAGAAACAAAAAATGAGGCTTCCAGCTTGTACAGTTGAGATAGAAAGAGTGAATTTTGAAGCTCGGCCAGCTTAACTGTCTGAAAATTGGTAGTTTTACTTTAAGGAAAGAAATGGAGGATTTATCAGACACTGTCAAGATAGCACATAGGAAAGACCTGAATTCTGTAGGAATGTCACCTGGCAATGACACTTAACACATTGGTGATGGGCCCTGAGAAATCTCGTAGTACGCTCGCGAGCGTACTACGAGGTTTCTCGGGGCCCGTCACCAATGTGTTAAGTGTTATTTTGTGTTTGATAAAATGAGATATTTTAACATAACCATGAAAGTTTTTTTTACTTAAAGAAATATACATGCCATCTTTACCATGGGTGACATCACTTTACCTTTCTGTGAATATACACAAAATTTAATCTTTTGTATGTTTTTTATTTTATTTAGATTTTTTGGTGTTTTTTTCTAGTTGATTAACATAATGGACCCTGAAGAAGAACGCATGAGGGAATTCAATGTAAGGATGCAATATGCAGCAGATGTAGACATGGAAGCACTGTTCACATATTTGAATGAAGGAACATCCCTGGATCGCCCTCAGACTGCACTTCAGGCCCTTGACATCATCTTCAGACAAGCTCCTGAGTTCAAAAGGCAAGATACCAGTCATCCTCACTATTAGCCAGAATTATAAGATGCTCCATTAGCATGTATTATGATGATGTACTTGCAGTCTTGTGTGAGTTAATTCTATTTTCAGTAACAATGCTTTTGATGAAGAGTTGCTTGTTCAAGTTATATAGGTTGAGTCATAGTAATACTATTTTCAAAATAAGTTAATAGGATTCAAGATATCTGTAAATCATTCTGTTATCAGCCAAGCAACATGTATATAGCAGTGAATGAAAGTTCAATCTTGTGTTTTTTTCTGGTTGTTGTTATGGGCGCTTTGAGAGTGGCCAGAACTCAAGGAGCTTCTTTTGGTGATTCCAGTCCAGTGAATATGAGAGGGACATAATTTATCGTACCCTCAGGTGTTATCATGAGAATGAGAATGTCCATGACAGGAAGCTCATTGACTGACCACATTCTGTTCATGTGTCAAAGCTTGTCTGGAATGTGAAGGTGCAGATCAGATCAAAATCAGTATTCACAATTGAGATGTATTTCATTGGGATATTATGACTCACCCAGCTTTTCACACTTTTCAAAGGAGTGAAATGGAATTTCATCATAAGGATTTACTCCTTTCACTGGTTTTGTCAACATGAAGCATATTGCATTTGAAAAGTTGTGCTTGAAATCTGGCTGTCCTAGATGTTAGAACCACTCAAGTTCTATACTGTGCTTCCAAGATCTTCAGTTCAATGAGGATTTGATGCAATACCTCCATGCTATTTTTTATTTTATTATGATGTATGTCCCCCAATGAGGCATCCTGCCAGGCTTCTATATCAGTCATTCATCAGCATCCACTGCTCTTTATCATGCATATATGAGCATATATAAACTTGTAATTACCTATAGTTATTGTCTATACCTGTGATCTGCTAATTTTGGAGAGGTAGATATGGAAGTATATGTAAGGAAACAGAAATGTTGAAAAGAATCACATTATCTATGGTGGCTGGGCTCATGGATTACCTAGGAGATCATGTGCTATCTCTGGATGATCTTCTGAGCCCATAAGTCCCAGAAAGGCCCTTCAGTTGCAAGAGTCTTTACTTTCCGATAGCATATCCCCATTATTTTTTTTAAATCAATATTATTATGCAATAATAATACCTACAGTACTGGCTTTCATAGCAAAGAATGCAAGCATCTATAAATTTTCTTTGTATGTGGCCAATACCTTTAGAAAGGGGAGAAAAGTTGAGAAAGATAGGTATATTAAGCTTGGGAAATCCAGCGCAAGCTGTAAATGCAGGAGCAGTGATTGGCCAGTGCCCAGTGGATGGGACATGGATTTAGAGGGTGGAGGATAAAATTTTGTTGTCTTCTTCAGAAACTAGGAACTGAAACCCATAAGTTGTTTATCTTGATTGATATTGCCTTGTTATACTATGTAAACTACCCTGCATTGCAATTCTTGTTTTATGGTTTGTGCATAGCATTTTATTTCTTCCATTGGTAGGTATGTTCCAGCTGCAAGGTCCTATTTCTCTTCTACAGAAAGAACTGTGCATCTTGGAAGTGGAGTAGAATGTTGGCAAGGCTTCTACACCTCAGTTCGACCAGGATGGACCTGCTATTTCCTCAACATGGATGGTTAGTTCCATTAATGCCCAACTCTCAGGTCCATGTTTAGTGAAGCTTCCTTTGCGCATCAAATAGAATTACATTCATTCTACGGTGTTTTTCACTTGAGGTAGACAATTTTTCACTTGACTCAGACACACGTGCATGGGACATTCCTCATGCATGGGTGTTGAAGTCAAGTGAAAAAGTGTCTAACTCATGTGAAAAACGCTGTATAATTTTATTTTTGCAGTTGCTTTCAAGGGCTTTATGAGTGAAATACCTCTAATAAAACACATTGAGGAGCTGCTGACTGTGTACACAAGAGGTGCTTCCCAGCCACCAGATTTAAAAACAAGGTCTCTAAGAGGAGAAGATTTCCAGAAACTCAACAGCAAATTAAAAGGTGGGTTCTTTTGGGTGATGGCATAGCAAGTGAAGAAACCAATGTTGACATGTCCAAGGACTTCAACCAATGGTAAACCAATATGGAACTATTATTCAATAGCATTGTGTTTTTTACTTGAGTTTGTCAATTTTTCACTTGACTCAAACATTCATTCCACTTCTTCCTTCCCTTTCTGAATATTCTCTTTTGTGGATACAGTCATTATAAGTAGGTCTATATTAGCCATACTCGAGTCACTCTGGTGCGAAGTCATGTTTGCCATTTACCTCAGTCCATTGGCTGTTGTGCTCCTTTGAATTGTGAAGTTACTGCTGATGTCTATCACATGCTCCACCTCCATAATATGCCATTCAGTCATTTGTCTCTGGGAAGTAATACTTCTTCAACAAATCAAAAATAAAAAATGGCTGGACTGGCTAGACCTGAAAGCTGGATAAAACTCAATAGGGCTGCAGGACATGATGTTTGCCATTGAAAGCGGAATATCCTTTCATGTGATTCTACAGGATCAATGCATCAAGTCCTGGGTGCTTTTAGCTATAATCTTGAGAAATCTTCACTTGCAGAAGATCTGCTGTATTACATGGAATACTTCTCTTTCATTCTGCTCTTCCCTTCTTTTTTTTGTATTTTTTTTTTGTCAATTACTTTACCTGCTGTAAAACATGGTGGCATGGACAACATATCTCCTACAGTCGGTGTATTTTAGTCTATGGGTCTTCTATTGCCCTTCTAAGGTCTATTGCTCTTTTCCATATGAAACAAGATATCCTGATAAATGAAAATGTGGGAACAGTAGAGGAGGAGAATCTGTCTGAAGATTATCTGATAACTTTGGACTCAGCTGATACTCAACCTCTGGCACAACTAAACTTAAATGACTTGTAGTTTTATGTGAAGAAGGAATGTAGAAATTAAACTTTTTTGAGAACGACTTGCATATGTTTTGCTCTCTGTGACATGTATTGACAATGCCAAATCTGATGCCTAGAAGTATGATATTCAGATCATGTCACTTAAGGGCCTTCCCTGATTTACTATCAACTCAGAAAGCACATTTGTGATGGTATTCAATCTTAAGTTCTTTTACTATAGGTGTAAAAATATGGTACACCCAGGGACCTAAAGGAGCAAAGAGACGCTATTCCATCAATGAAGTGAGGAGAGCACGAGCTGACAAGGAAGTGTAAGCTACATTTCCTCAAATCTCCTCCTCTCCAATAACCAGAGTGCCATTTTTGGCAATCCCTTTGTGTTACAGTTTCAATTGTGATGGGAAGCCAATGACAGTGGCTGAGTTCTGGCGCAGTACATACGGACAAGGTCTCAAGTATCCCAACCTCCCTTGTGTTTGGGTGGGCTCCAAGAAAAAGACTATCTACATCCCTGTTGAGGTTTGTCATATCAAATGACAGTCTCTCAAGGTCAAGACATAAGTGCTCATTCATGAGTGCTGGGACTCTGCTTGACTGCAACATTTTTGTCATGATGTATTTACATTGATTTCATTGATGTATTTGATGTATTTTCTCAGGTCTGTAACGTTGTGAGAGGACAGCAAGCCAGGAAGCTTGATGAGGAGCAGGCAGCAGCTATGATCAAGCACACAGCCAAGCCACCAGCAGAGCGCCGGATGATTGTTGAGAGATCTGTTAGTTCCATTAATAACGTAAATGGCTAGAGTCCTAATTTTTTCAGAGTCAGTCAATATTTTTCCAACCTGCTGATATAAATTGAATAATTGATCCTGCACTTTATGTTTTTACTATTTGAATTCTATTGCACCCAACTGTATATATTCTTGGTGTTGACAACGTGACAACTACAGACAAGATAACCAGTGCACATTTTGCATTAGTTATTTTGTCTGTAGTTGTCTACAATTACTTTCATATTTATTCTAAATACACATACATTATTCCTAAAGCATTTTGATAATCAAATATCGGCCAGAATCAATCCAAAAGCTTTCACTTTTTCTCTCTTTTAGACCTCTCCATCTGACCCACGTACTGTAACTGAGCTCTAAATGTCTGTATTGCTTTTTGTCAATAGCTTGGAGGTGTTTGGTAGGATCTTTGAGATTTTATATTTATACATTCTTCTGTTTCCCTTGCAACAGATGAGACAGTCAGGTATTCAAGGGAATGAACACCTGGAATATTTTGGTATCTCTGTGGCTGATCAACTCCAGAAAGTCTCAGGAAGACTCCTGGATCCCCCAGAGTTGAAATATAAGGTAGGGCTACATCTACTTGGCCGAGTTTCATAACATCTCAGCTGTATTTTCTAAAAGAATTTATTTTTTTTTGGGTTTTAAACATTTCCATGCAGGACTCCAAACTTGTAAAGCCAAAAGAAGGTAAATGGGACATGCGGAATTGCAAATTTGTGGATGGCAAGAGTCTCAGCAAATGGATCCTTGTTTCTTTTTGTCCTTACTTTGACCAGAAAGCAGCCTGGTGAGTCTTTGAATGAATCTTCTTCATGGCTGGGTTTTTTGTGGGTGAGTTCATGTAATTTGTGAGGCATTAGTATTTTACATTAATGTCAAGGTATACGTATGACTGTAACACTTGCGGTCGTCTGGCGTGGCCGGTAGTATTACTCATACGTCTCTGTACTTTAATAGCTACCCGCAAACTACCTTGACTGTCGTGAAACAAGAAAATTAAAAATGGAAAAAAGAAGGATATTAGAAATTGTCTTTTTAGGATGGTTCGTATTGGTCGGACGGAATCAGTGGCCATTAGACAATGATTCCAACAGACTGGGTTTTCACAGGATTTCGTTTATTCTATTCTATTCTCTCATCGACAAAGTACCAAAAATGAGATTTGTACAAAACCTCCTCAGCACAACTTCGCAATCGACACAGCTTTCGCTTTTAAAGATGAATGAACAAAAAAGAATACGTAGAATACGAATGAGAAGAAGAATGTAGAATTTCTACGAACAAGAAAATGATTCAGCCCACCCCCTCGATGCAGCACTTTCGCGAGGTCTCGTGATTTGTTCAATCATGGCTAAACAACAAAACCGGAAGGGGTTGCTCGGGCTCCAACCCTCCACACGCCCACAATCTGCTTTTGGCCTTGCTATTTCTATATGTCCCTTTTGGCTCCAATCAGCAAGGAACAGAATCTGGCCCCAACCAGATCCACCCAAGCCCAGCTACAACCGGCACTTAGGCACCTCGGCTCCTACCGAGTAGAAATAGCAAGGCTCTGATTTGCCAACAGGGACCCTAACCCGGTGCCTGATGATAGCAGCAGCAGCGAAGTTCGGAACCCTTCACCAACCTCTACCTCCTCCTCCTCTCCACCTTCCAAGTAGAATTTTATATACTCTTCTCCATGACTGTCCATGTTACGGTAAACTCATACGCTGAAGGGTCGGAAAGCTGGAAGGATGTTACCAAAAATGGATTCAGGAGATTTGGGGGAAAGTGGTCGACCTCTGATCCCTCTTGACAGCGGAATCGCGGCAAATCCACAGATTTCATGAAGGCCGCCAGTCTGTCCTCATTTGTCGCTGTCTTAATTTTCTGTCATTCTCCTTTGTTAATGATGAAAGGACACATGTAGAGGGGAAGTAGCAATTAATTTCAACCCCTTCGAACCGTAGCCTGGCATCTGACTAGGGGTGGAGGCGATAAGTCATGGTGGGCGCTACATGACTCATCTTTCATTCTTGTAGCTGCTTGCCTGCTGTAAATGTGATGCTACTTTTTTCAGGCAAACATGTTTTGGATGTCAAAATCATATCCGCTATGTTTGTGGAAATCATGCTGGATTGTATTTTAGAGAAAATGTTATTACTAGTCTGTAGATAAAAGCATAATGCTGTCATTTGATGCATAGGCAGTGAAAATGATAAAATAACATCATTGTACATGTTTTTGTTGTCAATTGCCAATTGATGATTAATGTTTTCAAAAATAATTTTTCTCTTCCCAACCTCCATTCTCAGTATCAAAAAGTATCATTTTGGCTTTGATCTTTTGCACTATTGCCCTCCTCCCTGTCATGAGCAGTATTGTGTCATCTTGGTTTTAGGCTCTTCGTAGAAGCTGTCATAAGGATGGGACAGGAAGTGGGAATGAACATTCAGGACCCAATTAACATCATTATGTGTAATAATCGAATGGACACAATGAAGAGACTGTTTTCTGACTTCAAGGATGTTGAGCTCATTTGGTTTGTCTTTTCCAAGAAAGGAGACCCTGTTTACAGTATGTTTCTCATAATACAACTCTTGATAATGCAGGCAAAGAAGTGAGAATAAAAAGGAAAAGTAATGAATTGATCCATAGTGGATATGAAGAGACTGGGAGAGAATGAGTTTGGGGTGATGACCCAGGGGACAGCCCTGAGGAATGCTAAAGGGAGAGAAACTGGACAGGGTCCTAACCCTCAGGTGATTCGCAATCTCCTCTTCAAAGTCAACTCCAAACTTGGTGGAAGGAATGTTGAAATTAACAACATCTGTGATCTCAGGTAAGAATTTTCATTAGCCATATTGTGAATCTTTGTTTGAAGTTTAATTTTTTTTTTGTTTTCAAATATGGTGTTGAAGAAATGATTTCTATTTCAAATGGTCTTTGATTTCTCTTTAGGCCTGGGATATTCAAAGAGCCAGTGATGGTAATTGGTGCAGATGTGACTCATCCTGCACCCGGTCAGAGAGACGTTAAGCCCTCCATTGCTGCTGTGAGTAATGTTATTTGAGAATTGTTCGTTGTTTTTCTTATCATTCATCCAAAACATGAAGGGTTCTGTATTCTAAGTCAAAGTCAATCAGTGACCATAGTGCTTACATTTTGAATGGGCACATCACCAGTGAATGGAAGATAGTATAACTTATAGGCATGAGTGTTTCACTTTTCATGACACATAGCATGGGATCGATATTGCTTTATTTGACAATTGCTGATACCTAAGCATGTAGGAAACTGTTCAAGAACAGGGGAAACAAAGAAAACATTGGAGCAAGGGCATTGGCATTGCATCTCATCCCTCAGACTACTCCAGATCATGATCAAGGATGGAATTCATGGCATTTATATGTGTTGTTCAGAGATGATGAAAATTTAGCTCCTAAAAAGTATGTTTTTTTTGTTGAGCCATTTGTCATTTATTTATCTTCAGGCAGGATGTTAAATTTTTCCCAGGGGATTGCAGCACCTACTGTATGTGGTATCATTTCAGAGCTTGTTCTTTTCCTGATTTCAGGTGTGCAAACTATTTGGAAGGTGGCATGTGTTTTTTTTATTGTGTGTAACAGTAGCATGAAAATGTGAATCACGAGGTTGTGGATTTGGACCAATTTTATGAACCACAAACAGGTAGTTCAGAAACTGAACAGACAATTAGGGAAAAAAAGGTCATAGTGGTTGTTAGGCAGCATTTGATGGCAGTAGAACAGTCAGTGGTGTGCCCAAGTGGTGTGATTTTGGGGGTCATAACCTTCCCCTTGGGGTCAATTTTACAGGTTCGATTCTCACAAACTTTTTTACTTAGCCAGAAAAGCAGGGTGGGTTATCAGTTTTTTAATATAAGAACCCCCCCCATTTGGATTTCCTGGGCACACTACTGAACAAAGATATTGTGCATTTAGCAGCAAACTTGAAAATAGCTTGTTACCACATCATACAAGGCATCACATCCAAGTAATCTTTAACCCTTTCATGCATGGTGTCCACTATAGTGGATGGCAAAATTTTTGGCTATGGTAAACATACCTTGAAATTTTTTGTGTATGCAGTCAACTCACTGGCAAGTAATCTCTTTAATGTTGCTTTTTAGTGGTGAAACATGCAACTGCTAAGGCAGAGTACCTCCTTAAACACTAAACTACAAAAGGCATATTTTCCTTTTGTTCGGAAAATTCATATGTGGAAGGGTTAAAGCAATATCACACTAGAATGTGCAGTTTTAGTAGAGGCTGTGGTCCACTAGGAACACAGGATTTTTTTTTTTTTTTACCTGTATGCATCTGATTCATTTTCTTAGGAGTTTAAAGAAACAAAACTCTCTCCACTGCGGATAACTTCATGGCACATCTCATGAGCTCTGTTCATTCCAATATACTGGTGGTGGTTGACAGGTCCTTGGGAGTCTGGATGTGAATGCAACCCTGTATTCACAAGTGATTCAGGTTCAGCCACCCACCACAGAGACTATTGACAACTTCAAAGATATTGTCAAGAAACTCCTGCTCAGCTTCTATTCCTTCAATAGAAAGCAGAAGCCAAGAAGAATCATATACTTTCGAGATGGAGTGTCAGAGGGCCAGTTCGAGATGGTGATGATGATAGAGATGTACAGAATCCAACAGGCATGCAAGGAACTGGAATCTGGCTATGAGCCAAAAATGACAATGGTGGTGGTTCAAAAGCGTCACCATACTAGGTTCTTCCCTGAGAATCCCAAAGATGGAACTGGGAAGATGAAGAATGTCCCACCTGGCACAGTTGTTGATGACATCATCACCCATCCCACTGAGTTCGATTATTACCTTTGCAGCCATGAAGGGATACAGGTATGAAAGGAAATTTATTTTATCTATGATGATTTCATGAGAAGTTTTTGGAGTAAAGGTTGATGCTCATACTGATTTTCCTTCCAGGGAACGAGTAAACCGACCCACTATCATGTGCTCTATGATGACAATAACTTCTCATCTGATGAGATCCAGAAGCTGAGTTACTTTTTGTGTCACACCTATGCACGATGCACAAGAAGTGTGTCATATCCTACTCCAGTCTATTATGCTCACCTGGCAGCATTCCGTGCTCGCTCCCATCATGACAGGTATACTACATTTAGAAAATTGTATTTATTACACTATTCCAAGAAAAATCTTCATGCTTTTCCTGAGCTTGAGTGGATATTGCCCTCTTTTCCTCGTTTGTTGCTCAAATTTTCGCTCACCAATCACGAGAGGTTTCTTATGGTTAGAAGGTCTCTTAGTTCCTCTTGATTTAGGATATATAGATTTTCTAAGACAAATGAGGTCGAAAGAAAGTAAAAAACAACATGAATGAATGATGAATGATTATCACACACCTCCATGGGCTTCAATACACTAGTAATGATAAATGCTCTTGGTCTTCCTTATATGAAGGTACATGGACCTCTATATAACTCTGGAAAGACTTGACAGGGGCATGCCTGTAAAGTTTTGCAAAAATTGTTCTTATTCAATTTCACAATGTCTGCTGGACATCTTTTTCCACTATATTTCAATGGGTTCGTGAAGTTTTAGATGAACTCTGACAATTTCAGGATGATGCTGTAGCAACTGGGTCTATACGAGGGATTTCTCAAAAGTTCTGCCAGTAGCCCCAAAGTAGCACTTTGCGGCCACCTCTGATGACGACTTGTGGGCTACTGGCAGAACTTTTGAGAGATATATATAAGTCTGTGCTCTGCAAAATTGTAGTTGAATTGCAAATTTGAAAGAATGTCCATTTGGATTTATTCATTAGCTACTTACATCAAGAAGGAAACCAGATTGGAGATGCAGACCTGGAACATGCTGCAAGGGCAGTCTCCATCCATAAAAACATCAGAGCTGGCATGATGTATTATGTGTGATTTTTCTTCATCTTGGGAAATTTTTGTTGCTCTATGGACGCTCCTTCGCTGTGCATGTGCTGTGTGATCATATGTTTTCATTATAAAATGTTTTGGTGCTGTTGTGTTGCAAATCGTTATATTTTGGAAAGAGAATTGTTATATTTTATGTGATAACCTGAAATGAATGGGAAAGAAGAGTGTAAATTTTCCTCTGTGAGATTCTCGAATGTGGTTGTTATAATCCAAACCCAGTGCTGTGTTTGATACTGTCCGTTTCTGCTTGAGCTAACACTATTTTCTGGCCTCCTTTTCCTTTTCCTGGACTTTTCAGATTTTTATGGAGCATGAATCCATGCAGAGGAGAGGAATTTTCTCTGAATAAATGCTTTTTCATTCTCTTTCTTTTCTTCTCCTTTTAGGAAGTCTTCACGGACGAACGCATCTTGCTCATGAAAATGCTTTTTTCATTTTTATTCACCAAGTAACGGCTTGGAGATGCCTAGGCTGTCTGAAGTCTCATGACGATTTCGTTTATTTCACGCTCACTGGAAAAGAAAACACATCTGGTGAAGATGGCCCCATCGCGTGCTCCGTCTCCTTAACCTCTGCAGAGTAAATGGTTGAACCTAGCATAGCATAAGCGACCCTAGCCTTCCGTTTTCAAGGGCATGCATGACATAATTTGTTAGTTAATAACAAGGATGCGATTTAGAACTTACAGTTTTTCCCAATTGTTAAAGTCCTATTTCATATCTCGATGGACATTTTTCGAAACTTAACGTACGATCCGCAAAACGCGGCGCTCTTTCCTCATATCTATGCGTCCGGCAGTCAAAAGGGCGTCCCTTTGTCAAAATCAAAGTACGTTCTTCGATATTCTAACGTACGGGGTTAGGAACGTCTATGGACAGCCAAGAAGCAGACCGGGAAAATAATTCCTCCGAATACGGAAAGGCAATAATGTGATAATGTAATACTTTCAAAACTTAACGTACCCCTGTCAAAACTGTGCGTACTGCTGTCGAGATTCAATTTCCGCTCTCCAAAAGGGACAACAGAACGTCCTACGATCAATTTCTAACGTACCTGGAGTCAAAACTTAACGCACCATCGGCAAAACTC